GCAGGACTCTTAGGGAGTCAGCGAGGGGTTTGCGAGCAGCGTTGCCCACAATGGCGAAACGAAAGCGAAACAAATGCAAAGAAAAAAAAGACCGGCGTCCACCCATGTGGCGCTCAAAATCTGTTAGGTGCGTCCACCCAACCCAGGCGATCCAGTACTCACCTGTCCCGGGAACCGCTGTATCTCACGTAGCTGATCAGGGTGAAGAGAAGAGGCGCTTGGGGCCTTCCGTTGTTATTGGGCCAGGTCCTCTGTTGTACCGCAGGCGACAGCAATCGCACCTCCCGGCCGAAGAGGCACGTCGCTGAGTCTTTTACCTTTTTCCCCGTACGGGCCACCAGATGACCGGAGCCGCGGGAGACAGGAGACCAAACTCGAGCAGGATCAGCTCTCAAACTTTATTGCGTACAGCGAACCGGACCTAACAAGGTCCGCCACCCTCAGTGTTGGTTCCTCTTCCGCCCGTTGGGGGCAGGAACAACCTCTTATAAGGGGAAGCAGTATCCAATCACAGAGAAGCGTGTCTAACAAGCTGATAGGCTAGCGTCACGGGTAACTGGGCAGACATGACAATTTGGCGGGCTTGTTCAGGCTGGGAAGAACCCGGAAGCAGGAAATGGGCGCCATCATAGGCGGCTTCCCACACATGGTCATCTCAATAGACGGAGACAAAGCTTTTGATAAAATCCAACACTTGTTCATGATAAAAAAAAACTTGGAATACACACTTCAATCTCATAAAAACCACCTATGACAAACCAACAGCTAACGTTTGACTAAATGGACAAAAACTGAAAGCCTTCACTCTAAAATAAGGAACAAGACAAGGATGTCCACTGTTACCACTTCTATTCAATATGGTTCTGGAAATATTAGCCAGAGCAATCAGACAAGAGAGAGAAATAAAAGGAATAAACATAGGAAAGGAAGAAGTTAAATTATCACTATTTGCAGATGACATGATGCTCTATATAGAAGACCCAAACAACTCCATTAAAAGACTACTAGAAGTAATAAATTCAGCAGTGTAGCTAGATACAAAGTCAATGCTCAAAAATCAATAGCATGTTTGTACACAAACAAAAACTCACTGAGAGAGAAATTATGGAAATACTGCCTTTCACAATAGCATCTAAAAAATCGAGATACTTAGGAATCAACCTAAACAAGAATGTAAAAGACCTATATGCTGAAAATTATACTATGTTAAAAAAAAAGATTGAAGAGGATATTAGAAAAGGGAAGGGTATTCCTTGCTCTTAGCTAGGAAGAACCAACATTGTGAAAGAGAAAACACTCCTAAAATTCATTTGGAAACAAAAGAAACCTAGAATAGCAAAGGCAATTCTAAGCAACAAAGGCAAGACAGGAGGCATCTCAATTCCTGACATGAAACTATACTACAAAGCCCCAGTGATAAAATCAGCATAGTACTGGGAAAAAAATAGACCTAAGGATCAATGGAATAGATTAGAAGATGCAAGCACAACTACAAAGACACTCAGCCACCTGATACTTGACAAAATGTCTAAACATGTTCACTGGAAGAAGGATAGCCTCTTTAACAAATGGTGTTGGAAAAATTGGCTTTCCACATGCCAAAGACTGAAACTAGACCCATGCCTATCACCACGCACTAAACTAAAATCAAAATAAATTAAAGATATAAATATTAAAACAGAAACACTAAATCTACTGGAAGGCAAAGTCTTGGAGACATAGGGGTAGGCAGAGAATTTATGAACAAAACACAAACTGCATGGGAAACACTTCAAAGAGTCAACAACTGGGACCTCATATTATTAAAAAGTTTTTGCATTTCAAAAGAAATCACCAACAGAGTAAAAAGAAAACCCACAGAATAGGAAAAAAATTTTAACCAGCATCCCCTCAAAGGACTTATATCCAAAACATATAAAGAATTAAAAAAATCAAACCCCCCATATTCAAAGACCTTTTCCAAAAATGGGCATCTGAGATGAACACATAGTTCTCAGATGAAGATATTCAAATGGCAAATAAATACATGAAGAAATGTTCACCATCACTGGTCATTTGAGAAATGCAAATTAAAACAGCATTGAGATTTTATCTCACTCCAAGAAGAATCGCTGCCATCAAGAAATCAACTGATAACAAATGTTGGTGAGGCTGCAGGGGAAAAGGAACATTGCTCCACTGTTGATGGGAATGTAGACTGATGCAACCACTATGGAAATCAGTATGGAGATTCCTCAGAAGTCTAGGATTGGAAATTACATTCAATCCAGCTATTCCCCTCCTGGTTATTTTTCCAGAAAAACTGAAAATGTCATGTCACAGTGATATATGTGCACCTATGTTTATAGCAGCACAATTTGTAATAGCTAAATCTTGGAAACAACCAAAATGCCCATCAACCACAGAGTGGATGAAAAAGATGTGGTATTTTTATACAATGGAATATCACTCAGCTATAAAAAAGATGATCTTGAGGCCTTTATAGGTAAATGGAGGCAACTGGAAACTATCCTCATAAGTGAAATAAATAATCATATTTATAAATATCACATTGTCTCTCTGATGTTAAAAGTAATAAAAACTTAAGAGTAATAAGATCTGAAATGTGTAATAGCTATTGCAAAAAAGAAAGGGAAGGAAAGCGCTCTAAATGATATAACTGCATGTATGTTTAAGTGTACAAGATAGATAACTATAATACTAGGTTTTTGTTGGATCATTGAGCAGAATGGTTTGCATTCTCATTGTTTGATCGTCTACTTTCTATGCTTTAATTTTGTGACTTGAACAACTATTTTAAGATATGCAATTTATTAACTAGTGATTTCTTAGCATTAATTTTTTTGAAATTCTGTGTTTTTTCTACCTTTTTTATTTTGCTTTATTTTTTTCTCTTTAAATAAAAAAAATAAAAATGGATTTGGAACAGAAATATTTTGACATAAAATATGATTACTTTTTAATTTTCTAGAAAGGTTTCATTTTCCTTGTATCATTTACATTCATGCTTTTGTGATAGATGTTTTTGATTTATGAGATAAACATTGTATTAATCATGTATGAGAAAATCAAAAGGTATAGTGTTGTTAAAACTGCTCATGCTTATGATTCCTGGAAATCTACCCATCTAATAAAATAATATGCAATAAAAATTTATTCTTTAATTTGTATTTTATTTTTATTTTTATTTATTTTATTGTCTTTTTTGAGACAGGGTCTCCCTATGCAGTTCAGGCTGGCCTTGAGCTCACTTTTTAGCCCAGGCTGGTCTCAAACTCACAACGATCCTCCCAGTTCAGCCTCCCGAGTGCTGGGATTACAGGCATGAGCCACCAGGCCAGGCTCTAATTTGTATTTTTAAAAAACATTCAAGCTTTTAACCAATTGACATACTTTTAAATTACTGTCTTGGGAGTTGGGGTGTTCTGTTTTCTAAATGACTCCTTATGTCCACATTGGGCCTCTCCAGTCAGTGCTCCATGAAGCAACCACATAATGATGCCTTAAACATTAATCAGAAAAGAAAACAAAAACTAATCAGATCGCATCCCTCTCCTACCTAAAACCACCCAATTAGTTCCCAGCGTTTGTATTTATTTATTTTGTTGGTTCTGGGGATGGAACTTAGCCTCCAGCATAGAGCCAGGTGTCCTACCCCTGGAGACTGCCCACTGTTATTTCTACTCCAGAGCCTCTGTTTATAAATAGAACACCTGAAACGCTCCTTTCTTAATTTTTTTTTAAAAATCGGTACCAGGGATCAAACTCATGACTGCGCGCTGGCAAGGCAGGCGCTTATGCCTGCTGAGCTAAACCCCCGGCCCCTCCTTTCTCAAATTTTCACACAGCCCTTTTAAGTCCCTCACAATCAGCTCATACCGCACCTCCTTCCATGAGGTTCTGCTCTCCATCACATTCTTCACTCAGTTTTACATCCCTCAGAGCACCTACAGTCTGAAATTATCTTCAGCATTTGCTAGTTCACTTTTTCTTCTCTTGTTTCCCAGGCTAGAACACAAGCTGTAAGGGATGCAAACTTGGCAGACTTTCAATAATGACTATCTTTTTTTGTCTTCTCTTTACTGGGGACTGAACCCAGGGTTTTCGTGCTGAGCTACACCACCACCTCCTCACCCCCCTTTTTAATTTTCAGACGAGATTGTGCCAATGATCTAAGATGCCCAGGCATGGCTCCAACCGACAACCTCCTGCCTCAGCTTCACAGAAGGCTGGGATTAAAGACATGAGCCACGATCCCAATACTCAGTGTACCTCCGAGAAGAATGCATCCATACCGCAGCAGGCCCACTTTTTAAAACCAGTCTCGTCGGGCGTGGTAACCCACGCCTGTAATCCTAGCACTCAGGAGGCTGAGGCAGGAGGATCATTAAGAGTTCGAGACCATCCTGGGCTACAAAGTGAGTGCAAGGAGAGACTGAACTGCATAGCGAGGCCTGAACTCCAAATAAACAAACAAAAGCTGTCTAGCTGGGAGATTTCTAGGAACCTCACGGGGGAATCCTGACTAGGAAATAGGCAGCCAAGCGGCAGAGAGGGCATCACAGCAGTGTAAACTTCACGAGTCTGACAGCACTAGGGGTCAAGCGAGGAACAGGCGGCCACTGAGCCCCTGGGAAGGTTTTTGTTCAGGGTTTCGAGACACGGGCTGAAGAGATCGAAGGAGAACAGCGAGTCCCGATCGAGCTCGGGAGGGCGCTCAGGCGGGCTCGGGCCAGCCTCCTCGGGAGCCCGCGAGGCCACACGCGACAGAGGCTCGGAATGCTTCAGTGAATATCACAATTAACTTTTTTTCCTGACGTTTAGACAAACACAACTTCTGGAGAAGCCGAGATATGCAGAAGGGGGTCACCTCGGGCAGCAAATACCAACTTTGCGGCCTCCGCGACTGCGGTGTTTGTTGACAGCCCGCGCGAGCGCGCGCAGACGCCACCGGGTCGCTACTGCGCAGGCGCGCAAGGGCTCGCGGGCGGGAGCGCGCGCCGGCCAGTTCGCGCGGGAGCGGGGCGCGGAGGCGCCTGGGCCGCTGCGGGTCGCTGGGAACCGAGGCCGTTTGTGGGACGCGGGGGAGGCCAGAATGGCGACCCCGGGCAGGAGGTCGCCGACTCCGACGCCCATGGCTCTCAAGAGGGCACTCCCGGCAGATCCTTCCTCCGAGGTCCCGAGCAAGAGAAGGAATTCGGGCCCTCTGCGTTCGCGGCAGCCGTCGTCCAGGCCTTTCGTGGAGGGCTCCATCGTCCGCATCACCATGGAGAACTTCCTGTGAGTGGCTGGGCCGCGCGCGACGAGGGGCTGGGGGTGGGGCGCGAGCCGGGCCACTGCGCGCCGTGAGCCGAGCGCCGAATTCGTGCGCCGGACCGGTGAGGTGCTGCTTCCGTGGGCCCGTCTTTTGCCATAGCAGATGTGTCTCGCGTGATTGTTTTTGTAAAAATTCATTTGCGTACCTTTTTTGAAGGCGTCGTGGGGCAGTCGGGAGTCGGTACCAGGGGACTAGTTGTCTGCCCTGCCTGCTGGGAATGGCGATCTGTAAAGGGACGTGGTCTGCATTTCACAAAAGTCTTGGCCCGGAAATTCAGAAAGGGTCAACCCTTAAGTTGCAGTCGTGCTGTGGCTGCTTGCTTACGTGGAGGCATCGGCTTTGTGGACAGAGACGAGATGAGCTCTGGTCGTGGTTATTCAGAGCGAGGGTTAGTATGTACCCACAGAATTAAACCTTACTTTCAGTTGTTGGACCTCCCAGCAGACCTCTGTTTGACTCCTGCAAATACGGCTTTCTTTCCTGGCTCCTCCTCCCTCCCTTTTTTTGGCACTGGGAATCGAACTCATGATCTCGCCCTTGCCAGAAAAGCTCAGAGCCGCTGAGCAACATCCCCGACTTTTCTCTTCCTTTAGACAACGAATTGCTAGTTTAGAATCTAAATGTGCTAGAGCAAAAATATAGTGTGTCTTTTAACGCCTTATAGTTCGTTTTTTCAGAGTCCTTTTCTCCTCCATCTTAAATGTAAGTTTGCACACAGTGGCACACTGCTCATGGAATTGGGATAGCTGTTCCATCATTATTTTCCCTAGATATTTATCATGTGCCAAGTTCAGAATTGGGTGTTTTATTTATTACATTACTTTTCTTATTCATGGCTCTTATCTCCCTTGATGGGATAAGCTTATGTTGATTTTGCCCAGGTTTACATAGCTAATACATAACCGATTTGCAGTTTGAATCCTGATCAGTAGATGTAGGCAAAGATCATCACATGTTTACCGGGATGCCTTGAGGGAGTGGTTAATGTCATTCACAGTTGTGAGGAAGAGCTTTGTAAAGAAGGTATGAAACTCTTAAAAGAAAGGAAGAGTGGTGCAAACTGTAGGAACTGCCTGAAAGAAAGTTTGGAGTTTTGGAAACTCAGGTGTTTCAGTATAACTATAGCATAGGATTCTCATGAATATGTGGATAGAGGTAGGCAATCATTGAGCGTCAGTATATTTACTGTGCTAAGACATTCCAGCTTCAAGCAGGATTCAGACTACAATATAGCTGTTACGTGCTGTGTTGTCATTCTGGCTGCTCAAAATACAGTTGTTTCTTGGGGCTGGGGATTTAGCTCAGCGGCATAAGCGCCTGCCTTGCAAGCCTTTGGTCCTGAGTTCGATCCCTGGTACCGGTAAAAATACAAAATAAATAAATAAATAAATAAATAAAGTTGTTTCTTAACTATACCTGTCTCTACCTGTGTAGCAGTCAGGGATGCTTGGCCTCATACATGTTAAAATTAAATGCTAACCTGAGTGGAGTTTCTTAAATTAAGGTGTGTTCACAGAACGAAATTTCAGCCTTATCCTGTAGGCAGGCTGGATGTCTTTTAAGCGGGGAATAATGAGGATTTGTATTCACTTGGAAGTATTGAGAAAGGTTTAAAGAATAAAGGGTTTAAGATTGGAGGCAAGAAGACTTTTCTAATCTGAAGGCAAGAGAGAGTTTGAGCAGAGTAGGAATTGAGAGGCAACGGGGCTGGGGATTTAGCTCAGTGGCATAAGCGCCTGCCTTGCAAGCAGGCAGTCGTGAGTTCGATCCCCGGTACCGATAAAAAGGAAAAAGACAAAAAAAAAAAAAAAAAAGGAATTGAGAGGCAAGAGATTCAGTGGAATCTGACTTCACACTGTGAGGCGTTAGAGGAAGACAGAGGGTTGCGGCAGTTTTCCTAAGTCTCTGTCTTTGCTCCCTGATCAGGTACTATTCAGTTTGGGGAGAAACAGTAAATATCTTTTAGGTCCTGTGATTTGATTTTCTGTGTGCTAAGAGATGCTCTGTGGGCAGAATTTATAGGGGTCTGGAGCTCAAAGGAAAAAAAGAAATATTACCTGTTAAATTAAAGCCAGATATAATAGGAGTGAAACCCTTCCACATGTTAGGAAATCTTTGACTCCTTAAAGAAGCAGTAGAAAACTGCAGATCAGGGAAGAGAGAGTGAGAAATGAGGAGGTAAAGCTTGGATTTAAAGAGGAGAAAGGAAAGATGACTAGAAAGTACAGAACTGAGTGAAATTTTATTTTCTTTTAATGACTGAGTTTAAGAGTGTGGTGTGGAGTGGGTAGGCTTAGAGAATTAGCAAGGAAGGGGGAGAGATCGGCCTAGAGACTTCCCATGATCTAGAAGGATTCCTGGTGGGCAGTGGAAGGAGAAATTCTAGGGTGAAGCAGTAGCATGCAAATAGTTGTAGAAAAGAGAAGTGTAAGTTAGTCAAGAAACTGGAAGAGGCCTTGCCTACGGTCATATACATGTAAGTAATCACAGCAACTGGAGAAGCCAAGGCAGGAGGATCATGAATTTGAGGCCAGCCTGGGGAGTGTAGCAAGACCCTGTCTCAAAATAAAATTTAAAAAGATCTGAAGACATAGCATGTGGGCAGAGTACCTTTCTAGCATGTGCGTAGCCCTGAGTTCATTCCCAGTACTGCAAAACAAACACACTCATACACCCATCCACACACATAAACCTGCTAGGAAGTACGGTACCTGATAGCTAGAGTGTAGAGGAATAAGCACAAGATAAGAAAGGAGATGGAAAGTGGGGAAAGATGCCAATGGTAAATCCCAAAAGGGACGTTGTTTTCCTGTAAGGTTTTTGTTTTTGTTTTTTAGCAGATTACATCAGATTTACATGTCTACCAACATGACTTGGTGTCTTAGTTACTTTTCTCATTGTGAGACAAAGTACCATACACCAAAATTAAGGGAGTAAAGGTTTATTTCAGCTCATTGTTTGTAGAGGTTTCAGTCCAATTGGTTGGCTCCAAGGCAAGGTGGGATGGCAGAGGGGCATTGCAGAGGCAAAGCAGTTCATGGCAAAGCGGGGTAGGCAGAAGACAGCAAGCAGCAAAGTGGCAAGCCGCCTGCTGCCTATACCCAAGGTGGAGCATCCTTAGTCACAGCATCACAGGACCTAGAGCCAGTCACTGCCATTCTAAGCTCCATCTATGATGGCAGAAGGCTTTGGGAAGGCCCTTGGTCATGAATTGGATGATGGGGGGCAAATGTGGGTAGAGGCAAGAGATAAAAGAATCAAAGATGATGAAGAAATGTCTGGCTTTCTGATTTGAGCAACTGGATTAAAAAAAATTGTTCATTAAGTGACTACAAGAGTGGTTTTGGAGGGGAGCATTTTTGGATTTAGTTTTAAATGTGTTAAATGTTAGGTGGTTTGTTGGGACATCCAGCTAGTTATTATGGAGGTAATTGCATGTATTAGTCATCTGGGCTGGCATTCAAAAACTAGACACCACCTGAGGCCATGGAGACTATATGAAACATTTCGCCAAGCTTTTAGAGTGAGAAGAGTGAGCCTTTGGCAGCTGTTTGAGAGGGAGTTCATAGAAAAGGGAACTCACATAACCAGAAATAAATACAGTATCAGAAAAGTGAATTTTAAAATTGCAGAGACTTCATCCTGTTTGTGGCAAATCCCCTATTTGTAGTATCTCTATAGTAGAGGCCAGAAATGCTCATGCCTTTCCATATTATTTTATGGTAAAATGCCAGTTGTGTCACTATTTTGTTTTTGCTTTTGTTTTGAGACAGGATATCGCATGTAGTTAAGGCCTGCTGTGAACTCAGTACAATACGTAGCCCAGCCTGGACTTGAACTTAAGTTGATGCTCCTACCTCAGCCTTCCAGGTGCTGGAGTTACAGGTGTGCCCATCACCCTATGCAGCCAGATAACTATTTTAGTATGATGTTTGCACAAAGAGAATTTGAGGAAGATTGTAGATAATGATAGTATAAAACAAGAAAAAGTGTTTTTATAAAGAGTATTTTTTGTTTTATGTCTGCTTAATTATCTCACCTCTGTATAATTCAGAACGTACGATATTTGTGAAGTATCTCCTGGACCCCACTTGAATATGATTATTGGAGCTAATGGAACAGGAAAGTCAAGCATTGTGTGTGCCATTTGCCTTGGATTAGCAGGCAAACCTGCTTTTATGGGACGGGCAGATAAGGTGAGTTGACAAATTTTAAAGGAAGTCATTAATTGCTTTTTAAAAAAATCAATTACTGTGTTTCAGTTCCTTGGGTATTATAAAATTAATAGTGATTGAATGTGATGAATGATTTTGGTAGGTTGAAAAGCTAGAAGGACATTTTTATTTTTTTTGTCTAGAAATACCATACACCTAGGGACTTATGCTGGATATAATGTATCATTTTTTAAAATGTGCTGCAGGGCTTGTGGAAATGTATAAGAAATTTACCAAGGACAAAAAAAAAAAAAAAAAAAAAAAAAACAACCAATGTGAATACAAAGATATAAGCAAGCTCTAAAGTAGTTTTTTTTATTCCTTTTCTTTTCTTTCTTCTTTTTTTGTTTGGTTTCTTGAGACAGAGTCTTACTGTACAGTTCAAGCTGGCCTTGAATTCACTTTGTAGCTGAGGCTGGCTTCAAATTTGCAGTGATCCTCCTGCTCATCCTCCTGAGTGCTGAGATTACAGGTGTGCACCACCATGCCTCACTTGAAATGTTTTTCTGGAGGCATTTGCTATTAACCTTGTAACATAAGGTGTAGTTTTGAGTTGTTTGCACAGATAGAGAATCCTAATGGTAGAGAAAGGCTAGTAGATAAAACCTGTGTGAAAAAGAAAAACAGTGTAACAGTGTTAGATAGTACATCTGCTTATATCATACTGGGTCTAAAGGGCGGGAGGTGGTAAGAAAATCATAAAAAGGACTTCATAATCACAGCCTAACCACATTTGAGGCCAAAATTCATATTATCTACAAGGCCTGAATGGCATAAATTACAGTTTTAGTTTAAAGAGGTCTAAGTCATATCTCCACATACTTGGCAGAACAAATGTAAATCTTTTAATCCATCCTTAAAAGAATTTTAACATAATGTTCTAAGAAGTTTATGAGTTGATGACTAAAAAATCACAAAACATGGGAGAAAATTGGTTAGATCTCAAAAACATAATTTTAAGTTAAAATGCCATTTTGAAAGAGTACCTGGAACATGACTTTAATAGGACAGCAAAAAATAAACTAATGTTCTTAGCGTTCAGGGATGTACATGTATTTAGTGTAATTAAAGGAAAGCAAAACGATTAACAGATTAGCATACAGATTACAATTGTAGAGGGGAGAGAAGGATGGAATTGGGGTGCGTTGTGTAAAGAATGTCAGATTTAATGACCAGTTTCTCAAATTGTTGATACATGGTTGTTTTATTCTACAAATAGTACCTGGTGCTGTTGGTGTGTAATTTATTTCACAAAAACTGTATTTTATAAAGACTATCTGAGAATTGTCACTAAAAAGATACTTTTAAAAACTTGAACTACTAAGAATATTGCAGTAGTGAATTATCTAAATGCTATTAAATGGCTTTTAACTAGACTTAAATAGACAATGAACCATAATACCTCTTAAATTTACCTTTGCTTCTTTGTCTTAGGTTGGGTTTTTTGTGAAGAGAGGATGTTCCAAAGGCATGGTTGAAATTGAATTGTAAGTGTTAAAAAGTGTTAATGTGCTTTTTTGGGTATAATTTTTGAATTTATTGTGTGCTTTCTTAATAACTTTGGAAAAGAGTTTAATACAGTTATGTTAGACATAATATTTAAAGATTATTCAAATTTTTAAAAATTCACCTCATGATGTAAGAATTTTATTTTGGGAAAATTTTTAACCAGATTCTAAGTTTATAGGAGGTACTGAAATAATACCACTGCTAAATATTCATTAAGAAATTGTAATATCTTTTATAATCTCAAATGTTTTTTGCTTTTTGCTGATTTCAAAAGTTTAAAAAATCCAAAGTAAAAGTGTGTAGGTTGAAAATGAAAAACCTTCTTACTATACTTCTTCTCCTAGAAATAACTATTAATTTGATGAATTTCATGTATGACAAATACTTGGCACTTTGGTCACCATTTTTTTATTCTCTTCCTTATGAGTTCCTTTTCCATCAAGCCTGTTGTCCTTTGACCTCTTTTGGCAACTATTTTTGATGGATCAGAATTGATACCTGTGCTGAAACCAATTGACCAGCTTTGGTGTATATGCATTTAGTCTTCATGCACTTTAAAAAAATATATGAGAAAGCTTTAATTGGAATGTAAGAGAAATCAGTAAAGAACTTTAGCTTAAAGAACTAATGATCAGGCTAGCTCTTAACTAAGAAGAATAAGGAAAAATAGGAAAAAGATTCCAGTTTGAGCAGCAGGCTGCCAGCTTTTGAAGGTTAGTTTAAGTGATTATTCTCATTCTTGGTCCTTAGCTCTGGAAGAATCTTGAAACTGGGTGGCTGATTCCATTCCCATAAAATGATTGTCTTTGTTTGTGGTGGTTTCAGCCAGTTGAGGCTGTTTTTTCCTAGTGTCCAGTGGCTTTCAGTGTAGGGAGATGAACAAGAGACTTCTGGATGTAGAGTAGTTGTAGTGGAGGGTAGTATAGTGTAGTTGCATGTTCCTGTAAGTCCCTTATCTTGGAGTTCTCAGTTTATAAATCATCTTTATTCTTGGCTGGGTTTGGTGGCACCCTGTAATCATGGTGATCTGAGCGGTGGAGGCAAGAGAACTGCAAGTTGATTCCCAGCCTGGGCAACTCGGTGAGACCTAGGAGTCCAAATCCAAAGATCTGTCAAATTCTAGGCCTTGTTGCTTTACCGCACTGGGCGGGAAAGTAGTCATTGCTGACCCTCCAGGGTGTACAGTATTGTGAGTACTTGGGAAGTTTGGGGGTTTGGCCAAATCCTATAGCAGGTCTTGTGTGTTCTCACATTGGGTGTCAAAAAACTGTTTCTGGCTATTGTGAGTACTTCCTTGCTTTTAGTAGTAATGGAGGTTAACATGTTCACAGTAGGGTTATAAATTGTGTTGCTCACTGCCAGACAGCTCTGAACCAACTCCCTGGGACCGTCATGCTTATACCACTGGTCGTTCAAGCCGAGAGGAGTGTGTTAAAACTAAAGCACAGACTTGTGGGAACAAGTTTGCATTGGAATGTAATAGCAGATGGTAAGGGACTTTAGCTTGAGGAGCTGACAGAGGTCAGGTCAGCCCTTAAACAGGAGAGTAAGAAAAAACAGGGAAAGACTCCAGCTTGAGCTAGTGGGGCACAGTGTGATGCCGAGGCTCAGGTTGGCTTCTTTTGGCACATTGTGTAGATAATTTTAGAGTATTGTTTTTGGAGTTGAATTTTGGAATTTTTGAGCTGAAAAAGCTCTTTATCAGATAAGCCTATCATTTTATAGGATATGAGGAAATGATAATTTACTTAAAAATTATTAGAAAATGTATTTTTTCCAAATGAGAAATAGATGCATGGGCAAAAAAGAAAATGAAAATTATTTAAAATTTATTAAAAAATGACAGAATTTACTGAAGGATATAAAACCAAGACTTTTTAATAGTGAAGCATATTGTTTCCCTAGAAATTTAAAATTAATGTCATTAGTATGTCAGTTCTTGCCAAATTATTGAGTATGTCTGATACAGTTGCAGAGAGAGTCTTTAACAGGTATGTTTATAAGTTGATTCTAAAATTCATCCTGTCTGGGCGTAGTGATGAATGCTTGTAGTCCCAGCACTCAGGAATCTGAGATAGGAGGGTTGCTCTGAATTCAAGGCCAGCCTGGGGTACTAAGTGAGTTCAAGGCTAGCCGGCACTACATAGTGATCCCTGTCTCAAAAAGACAAACAAACAAACTTCCCCAGAAGTTCATCCTGAGGAGTAAATGTGCCAGAAGACTTAGGATGAAAAAGCAAACTTATAAATGAAACTTTTGTGTACCAGATGTTAAATTGTACTGTATGCTGGTGATGTAAAATACTATGGTATTGGTATGAAAGGTTAGAGGGACAGGATAGAGAAACCGGGAACCGAACTAATTGTGTGTGAGAATTTTATTGTAAAAATAGCAGTTTTGCTATTCTCACATTCAACACAACACAGTACACTTTTGACACTGCTTTCTCCACACTTCGCAATTCAGTTTTGACACTAATTAGAGTCAGTTCAGAGCCCACAGGTTAACAACTTAGTTCCAAGACTGCCAGTCACATTAGAGGCCTTTAACGTGCTTCAGGTTGTGACCTATACTTTTAGCTATACAACTAGCTATAAATTGGGATTTCCAGATCCTTTTCCTTGGGTTCGATTATTTGCTAAGACTACTCATGAAATTCGTAGAGCTGTACTTGAATTGCCAGTTTATTGTGAGGCTGTCACAGAGCATACAGGTGAACAGCCAGATGAAGACATCCAGAGGGAAGGCCTGGAAGGGGCGTGAGGGCAGGAGCTCTCATTCATTCATCTTGGTGGAGGCGAGGTGTGCTACCTTTCAGCACATTGGTATGTGTACCAGATGGAAGCTCTCTGAACCCCAAAGTTGAGGGATTTTTATGGAGCTTCATCACTCGGGCATGATTGTTAACCCAGTTTCTATCTTCTTTCCCTTCCCAGAGGGCAGTGTTAGGGTTTTCCAAACTTTTAATCAAGGTGTGATCTTTTTGGTGACCTGCATTTTCTAGGAGCCCTGCAGGAGATGAAAAGACACTCTTGTCACCCAGGAAATTCCAAGGTATTAGGAGTTCTGTGCTAGGAGTGGAGGCAGAGGCTAAATGTGTATTTTTTTAATATGTCACAATATCAGAGGTATGAATTACTCAAATTGAATTGGCTGTTGTTTTTTAAAAATGAATTTAGACCTTTATCCTACAGATCAATATGCTCTAGGTATGTTAAATACCAAAGAAAAATTGTGTAGCTTATGAAATAATAGAAAAAACAGGGAATATTTTAAAGTCTTGGGAAAGGAGGGCTAAGCACAAGAGTCTCAATAGCTATAAAAAATAATAAATGTAGGTTCTCTAAAAACCCAACTAAAAATAACCATACTATAGTTTAAAATGAGAGAGCTGGGTGGCATAGTCCTGTAATCCTAGCTCTCCACAGGCTGAGACAGGAGGTTCACTTTGAGTTCACAGCCAGACTCAACTGAAGACTGAGACCTTGTCTTAACAACAAATCGAAAAAGTGATATGGAGAAGAAAATATTTGTAGCACTGAAAATTATGGACAGGTCTTAAAATTACTAATTCTATGTTTCATGCAAATTAGTAAAGTCTATAAACTGCCTAATGTAAAAATGAGCAAAGAAATTTAAAATGAGTGGCCCATAAATATAAAATAGAGGCTATAACTCACTAGTTAGAAGAAAATCAAGATAATGAGAATTTTTTTCTCAGTCTACAAAATTAAAAAATCTGAAATACTTGAAGGTATAAGGAAGTAGATATTATTATGCTTTGTTTCTGGGAGTGTAATCAATGTATTATTTTGGGTTGTATCTATCAGCATTTAACATTTTTTCCCCTGTTTTTTGAGACAGGGTTTTGCTAAGCAGTTCAGATTGGTTTGAACTCACTGTATAATTCATGATGAACCTCCTGCCTCAGCCTTCTGAGTGCTGAGATTACAGGGATGCACCATCACACCGGCTCTGTCAGCATTAATGACTATATAAATATGTTAATTCACAATTATATATTAAAGAGAATGTTTTCTTATTTACACAAAATTTGCTTACTTGCTTTCTGCCTGTCTTCCTTCTTCCTTCCTTCCTTTCTTTTGAGAAAGAGTCTCACTATGTAGTCCAGGCTGGCCTTGAATAGACAAATGATGGAAACAGAATAGGCTGTAAGTTCCAAGGGCATGAGTGAAAGAGAGGACATGGAGTGGCTCTTTAGTGGTTGCAGGTCTTAAACATTCTGAATCTCTGAACTCATTCGTTTTCTTATCTAAACGTTACATGTGTTAATGTATAGTAAGTACTAGCTCAAATAACCTAACTGGTGGCCATTGGCTAAAAGCCTGTTAGCAAATCTGCCACAAAAGGAGGTTCCCTTTCCCTGTTCTTCTGATGGTTACATTGCGATTGTTTGTTCTGGGGTCCAGATGATCCTGAGTACCAAACATGAAACAGCTGTCTTTCACTGTTGACATTATTATTGCGGTCAAATAGCATATAAATTAGTAAAAAATACTATATGTTAGTTGGTGATAATTGCTGCACAGAAAAATAAAAGGAGGCAAAATGAACTGGAGTGCCAGAGTATTACAGTTTTAGATTGGGTGATGAGGAAAGTTCTTGGTGAGAAGTGAGCATCTGAGCAGAAGTCTAAGGAGGGGCGATTACAACATGCAGACATTTAAGGGGAAGAACATTTTGGGCAGAGAGCTGGGTGATTGCTGAGGCCTTGAGGCGGTACCCAGGGTGACTGATTACATTGAGGTGGGGACTCAGTGAAAGACAAGGAGTGAAAGTATGAGGCAGTCAGTTTATAGGACCCGCAACTAATATAGAAATATATTTACTGTATTTTGAGTTAAGATATAAAGCTAGGTGGGGATATATAGCTCAGTGGCACAGCATCTGCCTGGCAAGCATGAGGTTGTGAGTTTGATCCCTGGTACCAAAACAAAACCAAACACCAAAAAAAAAAAAAAAAAAAAAAAGTGAGACTACCAGGTTTTGAATGGAGTGATGATATAATCTACCTTAAATTTTAATCAGATTTTAAAAAAGAGTTTTAGTTAAGTGGCTAATATAATGAGTAGTTTAGAATTTGCTCTCAAATTAGATGTAGTGTGTGGGAGAAAGATAAACAGCACCAAGAGTCCACAGTTTTGTATCTTAATAACTTGCTTAATAATAGGATTTCCACTGACTTAGGTATAGAAGTGTGCTATAGGAGGTTTGGGGAGTAAGATTAGAAATCCATTTTGTACTATATCATTTCCAGTTAACGTGACACAGATAGTTTAAAATGTGTATCCCAGTTTCAGAAATGCTTAACTCTTGTTTTTCATAGTATGTTATTTGCATGCATGAAAATGCCCCAGTGGCTGTGCATACACCTGCAATTCCAGCATTTGGAGACTGAGGCAGAAAGGTTGCCATGAGTTTGAGGCCAGCCTGGGCTACATAGTGAGCTGAAGGTCAGCTTGAACTACATAGTGAAACCCTGTCTCAAAAAAAAGATCGTGAGAACGTATTGGCCGGTGTGGTGGTGCATGCCTATAATCACAGCAGTCCTGAGGCTGACGCAAGAAGATTGTTGTGAGCTCAAGGCTAGCCTGATGAGTAATATTTGAGATGCCTAGTGAGCATTCAGGTGGAAATGCTGAATGGACTGTTGTGTATATAAACTTGTCATACAGGGAGCAGTCTGAGCTAAGAATACCACCTTTAGAGACGCGTGAGTTGTATGATGAATGAAATTACCAGTGGAAAAGATACAGATGAAGGAAAAGAGAGGTCTGAGCTAAGAACTAAGCCATGGTGATCAACTAAATTCAGAATAGAGAATTTATATTCAGCTCACAGCTGGCCTTGATGAGATTTACTACTTAAATAAGCCAGTGCTTTTATTCTTACTGAATGTCCAAGTGCCTCTTGAGACCCAGAGCCGAGAAGTGAGTGATAAAAGGTAATCAAGCATGAGAAAATCTGGAAGTGGAGGCAAAAACAGTTTATGCCAAGGAGCTGAGGTAGAATTGAGCTTGTTGTTTCTGAAAAACAGAAGGGCTGTGTGTCCAGAGTGAGATGCGTTGCTGCAGGATTTTACACAGTACCCTTTACTTGGCTGAGGACATTCCCTTCTGTTTCTGAGTTGGTGTGCTTTTAGTATTTTTAGGTAATGAATTTTATCCACATTGATTAAATTGTCATATTTTAGTTTGACTTAATTTCCTACCATTCACTTAATTTTGCATTCAGAGTAAGTACACTTTGTTTATAGCTTTTTGACATGCTGTTCAATTTGTACTTCTGATTTAACGTTTTTGTATCTGTATTTTGCTTGCAAAGGATATATGTTGTTTGAACATTTAACTTACAGTAAAATCATCTTTACTTCTGGTCTTTCCTAACTACTGATTTAATTTTTTGTTTTTCTAATTATAATGATTTGATTTACTTACTAATAATGGGATTATTTAGACTATTTCTTCTTGAATAATTGTAGTTATTTATAGTTTATTAATGATGTTTGCCTTCTATGCAACATACCTAATTTTTGTGTCATCTGTAGTTTCATCTGTTTTCCTACCTTTTTTTTTTCAAGACAGGGCCTCACTATCTACTGCAGGCTGTGCTTGAATTCACCTTATATAGCTCAGGGTGGCCTCACAGCGATCCTCCTGGCTCAGCCTCCCAAGTGCTGGTCTTAGAGATGGGCATCACTGCACCTGGCTTCCTGCCTTGTTTTTGTTTTTTGAGCAGGGTATTGCTGTGTAGTTCAGGTTGGCGGGCTGGCCTTGAACTCACTGTGTAGCCTAAGCTGTTATTGAACTTGGAGCAATTCTCTTGCCTCAGCCTCTTAAGTACTGGGATTATAGGGGTCTACCATTATTCTTGGCTCTTCATGTGTTGTTTTTTTTTTTTAAATCAAGCTGTCATAATAGTCTTTCAGCAAACTAATTCTTGTGTTCTTTCTTATATATCATGCTTTTCTTTTTCATAAATTTGTATTCTTACTTGCAACTAACTTACCCTCTCTATCCTCCCTCCTTCCCTCTCTCCTCCTCCTCTTCCTTTTTCTTTCTCTTTCCTCTCCCCTCCCGTCTCCTTCTCCCCTGCCTTTCTCCCTTCCTCCCTGTCTTTCTTTTTCCTTTGCAGTACTCATACTGGGAAATCTAACCTAGGTGTACTCCACCACCAGGCTACATGCCTAGGACTTTTTTATTTTGGAACAGAGTCTCACTAAGTTGGCCAGGCTGGGCTTGAACATGTGATTGATTCACCATGCCTGGCTTTCTTTCACATTTTTTAAAAATTTCTTGAAATGATACACAGTTTTATTGTTCTAATTTTTCAGTCTTTTCTTTAACATAAACAAGTTGTTTTTAATTCTAATGTAATGATTTTTTGTTATAGTTTTAGTATTCATTCCTACTTCATTGTGTAGTAAAGTGCATAGTCTATGTACATAAATCATAATTACCTATATATTTGACTTATTTTTTATGGTATTTTCTCGTCAGTTTTATTTGTCACACTCCTTGGTATTTCTTTCTTCATCGGATTTTTTTCCTTTTTTTTTTTTCCCCTTTGAAACGGACTTCACTTTGTAATTCAGGCTGGCCTTAACCTCATCATGTAGCTCAGGCTGTCCTTGAACTCATGGAAACCTTCCTGTCTCAGCTTCCCAAGTACTGGAATTACAAGGCCGACTTTCTCATTGGATTTTTACTAGCTTGTCAGAGACCATTGGATACTTAAGAAGCCAGAATCATAATGAGTATATACTTAATTCTCATATGGGAGGGTATTGGACCTCTTAGGTTATGTAACTTAAGATACAAACCTATGTGAGGATGACTTGGGGTTAGTTCTCTTGGGCAGGGCCTTTGGTGTTTCATAGTCTGAGAGAGGCAGTTTTGCTTTTTGCAGCAGTGGTGGCACTGAAACATGCAAAAGCTGCAGCTCTGTGGGGATCCTTTTCTGTTACACTCTCAGTGAAGAGCAGCTCTAGCCTTGGTCTGCAGTCCCTCTGTCAGGAGGTCATGGAAATGAACCCTCAGAGTTCCCTGGCTGGGCAGATGCCCTCAAGTTGACAGTCAGTTTCATTTTCTTCACTCTGGGTCCTCATCTGCTGTTAATGTTGGCCAAAACTGCTCATCTTCATGCTACTAATAAATGCACTTAAGAAGATGGTTTTATTATTTTTAGTTGTCTGTAACAGGAGGGTCAATAAGTAATTTTGCTAGAAGTAAAAATTAAAACTACTTTTTTAAGTTCTGCATTCTTATCATTTGAAGTATTCTGGTTACAATATAACCTTATATATACAACATTTACAAATTATTGTCATTCAGGCATTAGATACCAATAATTTATCTTTTTACTACATGCTGCTGATTCCCAGTGACGAAGATGGATGAATAGATGGGAGGTGTGGAGCAGTAGTACTTCTAAAAGCAAGAAATAAGTAAATACCCTTCTTTCAGATTCTATATTACTTAATGTTCCTGTATAGCCATGTAATGTAATTCTTTCTGAATTCAGAGTGGGGTACACAATGAGGAAACAATGGGCCACCTGTGGGCAGATCAGTTTTGGTTTCTGGAAATGGGTATGCAGGAATGATCTTCAGACATTTGCAAAGTAAGGGAAATTTCAAGGGTGAACTGTTACATGGTTTAATACATTGAAGTCATCTGAATTGCAGTCAATGCATGTGATTGAAAAATAGCATAATGATTAAAGGGGAAGTTACTCCAGGTTCATGATTCTTGTGGTAGTGTTTGGGAATTAGTATTGGCATTTGCTTTAATTTCATTTGAACATTTTAAATACTTTTGACTATTGAATAAGTAGTAACTGATGTGGTCAGTTATAGTATTATTACTAATAAGAGGTCCAGGTTTCCTTCTTGGGAGGGACCAATATCAAAAGGAATAAAAATTACAATGGTGCTATCCTGGCACCTTCGGTGCAAGTGAATGTTGGAAATTTTCTTTTTAAATTACTATGTGTTCTGAATGTAACAATTTTAAAATAATCTTTTAATTAGGTTCAGGACGTCTGGAAATCTTGTTATAACACGTGAGATTGATGTGACAAAAAATCAGTCCTTTTGGTTCATCAACAAAAAGTCTACAACCCAGAAAGTAGTAGAAGAGCAAGTTGCAGCCTTAAATATTCAAGTGGGCAATCTTTGCCAGTTTCTACCTCAGGTATAAGAGAAGTGAATGTAAATATGGGTAAATTTTGTATATAATGTATCTTTAGTCTTTAGTCTGTATAGGACTGTAAGTAGTTTTCAAGGGATAGTGTATTGATTACTGCCTATATTGCTGTCTGTCTGTATTGCATATAGCATAATACATGGCAGTGTAGGTGGTACATTGATTTTTTTTTTTAACTTTGCCTCAGTAATGAGGCTTGAACCCAGTATCTTCACATTGAATTACATCTTCAACCCTTTTTAACATTTTTTATTTGAAGAGGGATTTTCACTAAATTGTCAAGCAGCCCAGGGTGGACTTGAATTTGTGTCCTCCTTCCTCAGCTCCTCAGAGTAGTGATCACAGCTGTGCCCGTGGCTGCACATAGCAACCCCTCTTTTTCTCTGGGGTTACTGAGGGTTGTACTTAGCTAAGCCTTTTGCATTGAGCTAAATCCCATTGTTATTATTTATTTTTTTGTTTTTTTTGAGACAGGGTCTCTATGCAGTTCAGGCTGGCCTAGAGCTCACTTTTTAGCCAGACTGGTCCCAAACTCTCAACGATCCTCCTGCCTCAGCCCCCTGCCTTGCAGTCAGCTGACTATGGGCCGAAATCCTGAGTGCTGAGATTACAGGCATGAACCACTATGGCTGGCTCTATTTGTCTTAATTTGAGGCAAGGTCTCACTAAGTTGCTCAGTCTGATTTTGAATATCCCTCCTACTCAGCCCACACTCTTAATACTGATAGTAAAAATGTTAAAGTCAGCCCTCAAGTTGAACATGTGATCCTCCTGCCTTGGTCTCTTAAATTGCTGGGATTGCAGGTATCCACCACTATGACCATCTCAACATAAAGTTTTTTTAAATGAAATTCTCCCTCTCCCCTGATACTGGTGGTCAAACCCAAAGGCCTTTGCACTGAGATACATCCTTACCTCTTATTATTTAGTTTGTGGTAGCCATTAAAGATGTTAAATTACCTGGACTGGCCCAGACTTGCCTCAACCTCCCAGAACACCGGGATTACAGGCAGTTTGCATCACCATACCTGGCTGAGCAAGGTCTATCTTGATAAATAATCATTGAGTTAAATGTATTTTTACGATATTTATAACTGATAATTTTTCAGGTATTTTAATTTTTGTGCTTTAGGACAAAGTTGGAGAATTTGCAAAACTCAGCAAGATTGAACTCCTTGAAGCTACTGAGAAGTCAATTGGTCCTCCAGAAATGCACAGGTATCACTGTGAACTCAAGAACTTCAGGGAGAAGGAAAAACAACTAGAGGTATTTATAGACACTCATTACTACCATTCTGTTCTGATTTCTGTGGTGGAGTTGGGACAAAATACCCAGTACTCACAAGTTAAAGGTCACAATTAGTAGAGATTTCGGTCCATAGTCAGCTGACTGCAAGGCAAGGGGAAGTAGTCCATGGATGGGCAGCCAGCAGGCAGCAGCCTTGCCTTCCTTCTGAAGCTTTTGAGTCCATCTGGGCACTAAGCCTGTGCAGGGTGGAGCTTCCACTGTGCACATCCAGAGTTCTACTGACGAGTGTAGTCATCACTCACCTTACCCCAGTGTGACACACCCTAAGTCCAGTCACCCAGAAGAGCTCCTGCAGTAAGCACATGAGGCTTCAGGGGGCATTTAGACTTAAGCCATTGCAAGTAGTAAGTAGGAGTTCTGTTCACTGAGAGAGTTATTTTTTATTTAGATTGCGTTTTTTTTTTAGCCCAGCATTGTACTTGTTGACATCAATTAAAGTGACAAGAATTAGAATTGACTTAATAATGTAAAGTTTGAAAATTTTAATTTCAGTAATAGGGGTCATTAGTTTTTAAGAAACCCATGATATTTTTTCTCTTAGGAAGTTGCATGATTCTGTCATCCAGTTCTATTGTTAGTCACCTACTATATGCCAGGTACTATCTAAAGTAGCTAGTAGAGCAGATATAGATAGCATGTGTAGTACACCTGTGTTGAGCCAGTTTTCTCAGTGCACTACTTTTTTTTCAGTTTCATGAAGGAACTTTATGAATTTAATTATATTAAAACAGTTCTTAACATTATCAACCTATAGAAATGTGCTTTTAAAGCATACTACTTGTAAATGTGTTTTATGTAATGGATCTTTTTTCACAGTTTCCAATGTAAAATAAGTCAGTATTTTCATGAGAAATCTTTAACGCTATACTTACAGTGCATATTTAATTATAATAAAATATTTTATAGTACTAATTCAATGAGGTTCCATAACCTGAGAATCCTAGTATTACTTTTCATTTGTATATCATTGTTTTGCTTTTGTTGAACTTTCATTTACACAGTTAGAGCATTCCTAATCCAAAATTTGAAATGCTCCAAAATCTGAAATGTTTTAATGTCCGTGCTAAAAGTTTTGAATTTTTTCTGAGTGTGGCTGAGTGTTACTGTAATCTCAGCACTCAAGACGTTGAAAAAGAGACAATCAAGAGTTCAAGGCTAGGTTGGACTACATAGTGAAAACCTTGTGTAAAAAAAAAGTTTCAGGTTGCGGAGCATTTCAAATTTTAGGTTTGCATATTAGTGATACTGAGCTGGTAACATCTATAAAAATATTCCAAAATCTGAAAAATTTCAAAATCACAGACCTCCTTTCCCCTGCATTTCATATAAAGGATAATCTTTGTGAACAAATTACTTCTGTCCCCTTCTATCCCTGCAGTGGGTCCAGGAGATAATTTTTATCTTTAGATGAGTCCAGATTCTGAAATGTGACAGGGCTTACTCAGAGTCATGTGACTAATAAATTGTAGAACTTCAACTAGAGTTTAAATATGGATTTTAACTTTTTTCCACTTCACAGTTTACCCTAAGCATCAGATGGGCAGCACATTCACTTAATTTATGTGCTGACTATCCTGAGTGTTGCTTTGGGGGGTATCATTTCAACCAATCAATTTTATTTTATTTTTAAAATTTATTTTTGTCTTTTTGAGACAGGGTCTCACTATGCAGTTTAGGCTGGCCTTGAACTTACTTTGTAACCAGTCTGGTCTCAAACTCGTAGTGATCCTCCTGCCTCAGCCTCCCGAGTGCTGAGATTACAGGCATGTGCTAACATGCCTGGCTTCTATTTTCCAATACCCTTTCAATCTCCTTTTTCAGAGTACTGTAGAGGTCTTTTACATCCTTTGTTAGCTTGATTCCTAGGTATTTCGTCTTTTTGGATGCTATTGTGAAAGGTATTGTTTCTCTAATTTTTCTTACAGTGAGTTTGTTATTCATGTACAGGAATGCTGTTGATTTTTGAATGTTGGCTTTATCAGCTGTATTACTGAATTTGCTTATTAAATCTAGAGGTCCTTTGGTGGAGCTTTTAGGGTCTTCTTGTCTTGACATGTAGCATATCATGTCATCTGCAAATAACGATAGCTTCACGTCTTCCTTTCCTGTCTTTATTCCTTTTATTTCTTTCTTTTGTCTAATTGCCCCAGCTAAAGTTTCCAGGACTGTGTTGAGTAAGAGTGGAGGCAGTGGCCATCCTTGTCTTGTTCATGATTTTATAGTGAAAGCTTTCAGTTTTTGTCCATTTAATATGATGTTGGCTGTTGGTGTCTCATGGATGGCTTTCATCAGATTGAGATATCAGGGTTTTTATCATGATTGGGTGTTGGACTTTGTCAAAAGCTTTTTCTGCATTGTATTGATCATACGGTTTTTGTCCTTAGCTCTATTAATATGATGTGTTACATTTATGGATTTATGTATATTGAACCATCCTTGCATCCCTGGGAAGAATCTCACTTGATCATGGTGTATAATCTTTTTGACAATTTGCTGCAGTCTTTTTACTAAGGATTTTTGTGTTAATGTTCATTAGGGAGATTGGCCTGTAATTCTCTTTCTTAGTTGGATCCTTCTCTGGTTTTGGCATCAGGGTAATACTTATTTCCAGTAATGAATTTGGAAGTATTGCTTCCTGTTCAGTTTCATTAAAGTGTTTGGTAAGAGAGTGATGTTAGGTCTTTAAATTTCTTATAGAATTCAGCAGTAAATCTGTCAGGGCCTGAGCTTTTCTTTGTTGATAAGTTTTTAATTACATCTTCAGTTTCATCTATTGATACTGAGTTATTTAGGATTTTTTATATCTTCTTGATGTAGCTTTGGTAATTCATACGTATCTAGGAATCTGTCCATTTCTTCTGTATTTTCTGTCTTTAGAATATAAGTTTTCAAAGGAGATATAAGTGATTTTTTGATTTTCTGTATTATCTGTTGTGATTTCACCCTTTTCATTCCTAATTGCATGGATTTGAGTCTTTTCTTTCCTTTTTTTTTATAAGGTTGACTAAGGGTTTGTCAATTTTATTTAATCTTTCAAAGAACCAACTCTTTGATTCATTGATTTTTTTTGTATTGTTTAGTTGCCAGTGTGTTAATTTCTTATAATTTCCTCCCTTCTATGAGCTTTAGGTTTAGCCTACTGTTGTTTTTCTACAAGTTTGAGATTCAACATTAAGTTGTTTATATGCACTTGCTCTGTTTTCCTGATGTGGGTGGGTATTTATTGCTGTAAGTTTCCCTCTTCATTGTGTCCCACAAGTTCTGGTATGTTGTATTATCATTATCATTCAACTGTAAAAACTATCTAGTTTCTTCTTCTGTGACCCATTGGTTGTTCAGTGTGGTGCTATTTAATTTTCATGTGTTTATGAAATTTTTGTGGTTTCCTTTGGCATGGATTTCCAATTTCATTGCACTGTGGTCTGATAGGATGCATGAAATAATTTCAGCTCCTTTGCATTTACTTAAGCATGTTCTGTGAGCCACTGTATGGTCTGTTTTGGAGAATGTCCCATGTGCAGTTGAGAAGAATGTGTATTCTGATGTTGTGGTGTGGAACACCCTATAGACATCTACAAGGTCCATTTGTTCAAAAGTTCGATTTAGTACTAATATTTCATTATTGATTTTTTTTGTCTAGTTGATCTATCTTTTTGTGACAGTGGGGCATTGAAGTCTCCCAATAAATATGTATTAGGGCTTATTTGATTTTTCATCTCTGTTAGTAATTGTTTTATATAGTTGGGTACACTGGTAATTTGTTGCATATATATTTATGATTGTTATCTCTTCCTCTTGGGTGGTTGCCTTTATGAGGATGTAGTGACCCTCTTTATCTCTGTTAATCAAAATAGGCTTGAAACTCACCTTGTTTACAAATAGAAGAGCTACCCCTGCTTTTTTCTAGGTTTGTGTCACATAGAGTATTGTTTTCCATCCTTTGACTTTCAGTCTGTGAATTTCTTTTTGAATTAAATGTGTTTCTTATATACAGCATATTGTTGGATTTTGCTTCTTGATTCATTCTGCCAGTCTGCATCTTTTCACTGGTGAATTGAGAACGTTAACATTGATGGTTATAACTGATACGTATTGATTTATCCTTGTTATGTTATTTTCCTTTTGTTTGCTTCTCCCCTTTTTTTCCCCCTCCCTCTAATTATTTGTCTTCCCTGGTGGATTCCTTCTATTGGTGTTCATGGAGTCCTTATTATCTCTTTCTAGAATGTCCTTCAGAACATTTTGAAGTGCTAGTTTGGTGGTCATAGATGTCCTTTGTCTTGGGAGAATCTTATTTCTTCATCAATTTTGAAAGATAATTTTGTGGAATACATCAATCTAGGTTGAAAGTTGTTTTCCTTTAGAACTTGGAATACTTTACCCCCAGCTCTCTTTGACTTGAGAATTTGTTCAGAGAAGTCAGTTGTAATTCTGATGGGCTTTCCTTTTTTAGATGATTTGTTTCCTTTATAGGTGATTTGGTTTTTTTCCTCTAATGACGTTTAATATTCTGTTCTTGTGTTGACTTTCTGGAATCTTGACTATGATATACCTGGCTGTAAATTTTTTTGATCATTGCCAATTGGAATACAATATGCCTCATTTATCTGTTATGTCAAATTCTTTTTCTCTACCAGGAAAGTTTTTTGTCATGATTTCTGTGAGCATTTTTAAGATACCATCTGTGGTATCTTCAGCAGCTCATTGATTCCAGTTAACCTTAAATTATTCTTTGTCTCATCTAGTACTGCTGTATTAATTTCTCATGGTCCCTTGATAGTTTTCAGAAATCTTTCTTTTCCTGGTTGCTAACTGCAAGTCTGCCTTAAATATCTCAGGTCTTGTCCTCATACTAGCCTCATCTGCTTTGAATGTTTTCAGTGGAGTTTTTGTTCTCCTGGATATCTGTTTGAATCTGCTTTATGGATTCTATTTCTTTCCTATGATGAGCTATCATAATTTGCTTAAATTTGTGTATTTTTTGGTCTGTGTCTAATGTTGCCAAGCATGATATGATTTTGATAATCTCTGTAGTTATCTGAGAGATTATTTCTGATTTCATTTTTTCCAGAACCTCAATTCAATTGCTTTGTTGTTTCCACTTCAGAGACCTGGTGGGGGAATGTTTCAGATTATCACACCTCATTGCCTGCTAGATTTGCCTTTGGTGAACTGGAGGTCTGGGGTTACCTTTTGTTTATCTTCTCATTTCGTTTTTCTCATTTTTAGTTTAATTTCTGGGGTGATGCTTGTAAGTTGCCTATGGTGGGTGGTTTTAGTGGTAGTATTTAGGACCCTTATGTGATGATTACGTCTCTGAGGTATCTTCCAGAGGTAGCTGGTTTTGGATTTTGAATCTGTTGGAAGTCCTACCTCTTTAATTTGTTGGAGATGAGTTGTTGCTTGTTTGCCCTAGACCTTGGTTCTTTGGCACTGTGCACTGTATTTCTGTGACCCTTAGTTAATTCAGTCATAGGTTATCAGGACCAACAGTGCCAGCCAGTGCAGTTCTCCATGTCCACTGTTCCCCTCCACTGCCGTGTCTCTCTGCAGAGGCCCAGGGTCGCCAGCCGTCACTGTCACCAGACTGTGGGTCCCCAGGTTCAAACAGCTCTTCTCTCAGTGAATCCCGTCTCAGGGCGAAGGCTCCACCGCCTTCTGCCTTGTTCTTCATTGAAGTTTTTCTTTTTACTCTCTCTGTGGTCTTCAGTTCTCACTTCACATTCTTCCTGGGTCCTGGGGACCCACTTCTTCCTTCCTGTTTTCCTCACGATGCCATATTTCAGCGTCTGGATGGTGACTCAGAGAGGCTGCTTTCTCTGCAGCTTACCACTCTACCATGGTCCAAAAGTCTTCTCAATTCTTGTATTAAATAAATTTTGATAAAATAGTTGCTTTTTATATTTCCTGTTACAGAAATTAATGAAAAAGTATGCAATTTTTGGTTATCCTATCTTTAAAGAATTGGACTGGTGAGTGATTAATACAGTTCTTAAGAACTGTGAAATTCTTAATTGTAAAATATTGCTACTATTGTGTTTCATTGTTAAAAGATCTGATCTGTTGTTTTTTTTTAGTTAAACTAACTGTTGAACAAATTTATTTTAGACTTCATGCAAAGAAAAAACTGAATATCTAGAGAAAATGGTTCAGAGGAATGAAAGATATAAACAAGATGTAGAGCGGTTCTATGAACGTAAGCGGCATTTAGATTTAATTGAGATGCTTGAAGCCAAAAGACCGTGGGTGGTAAGTCTTCACTTTTTTCAAATTCACAACCTCACACTTGACAGGCAGGCACTTGCCACTAAGCTATATCCCCAGCCCCAGTCTTACTTATTGAAAGCAAAAACAAAAGATTCTTTGAGGAGCAGAGTAGTTAAAAGAAGGCAGTAATTATCTTATATTCAAGTCATATGCTTTTTCATTTTTGCTTCATATATGCCATATAATAAAATTTATGCCTTTATTCTATAGATGTGTGATAGTTAAGTATAAACAGTTAAATCATTGCTTTTAATTCTTCCAGATTTTAGTCCTGAGCAATCGATTCTCGTTTTTTTTCTCAAATGTTAACAATCTGAAAATGTTTAAACTTGTGAGTGTCCTCAGATTACTAGGAATTCACTTGGCATTTGCCACTTGTATCAAATTCAGCAACAAGTGTACCTGAGATAGCTGAGCTGTAGTCTTCTCTTGATGTTTCATAGTGTTCTTAGGGTGCCATATTTGGATCACTTGTGTGATGGGTATTTTATTACTTATGGACCAAAGCTTCAGCTAAAGATTGAGTTCTGTTGTTTCATTACATTTTCAGTAGAACAAAATAGTAAAAAATATTTTTCTAGGGTTTTCCAAGGTTAAAATGAAATGTTTGTTAATAGGTTGAAAGAGTATTGTCTTATTTTTCCTCTTCCATTTCAAATTACATTATTCTTAAATTTTTTCCTTCATGTTTTCTGCAGCATTTTCCTCATGTGCATTTTCATTCTTGCATTCATTTTTGATCTCTTGAAATATTTTGTTTTCTCTTTTTAAAAACTGATATCAGTCTTTGAATTTTTCTCTTTAACTGAGTTTCTCTAATGTATTTGTGTCTTTTATATATTGTACTCTTCATATAGGCTGTTTTAGTACTGCTGTATTCAGTAAAAATAAATATTCCTGTGATATGACAGCTATATACTTTTAATTTTCCTTCTAGCTAATTTTCCATCTAGCTATATACTTTTAATTTTCCTTCTGGTCACTTTCTTTAACCCCCCCCCCATTTTTACCCTCATAATTCATTTAGTTTGCTTCTTTATGTATCCCAGAACTCTTTCCTGAGAGATTAGAGAAAAATCTCATCTTGGTGCCCGTTGTTTCTTAGATTTGGTTTCTGTCTGTACCTAATTTTAGAGTTAGTTTTAAGCTAGTTACTCTCTTTAATTTCTGTTTTTTAAATTATTTTCAAGGAATATGAAAATGTTCGTCAGGAATATGAAGAAGTAAAACTAGCTCGTGACCGAGCGAAGGATGAGGTCAAAAAACTTAAAGAAGGGCAGATCCCTATTACACATCGAATTTCAGAAATTGAAAGGCAGCGCTGTGAATTGGAGGCTCAAATCAAAGAAAAGGTACTTTCTCATTTTGGATAATCTGAGCTTTATCTGCGCAGACACAAAAAATGTTTTACAGTTTATTGCAAATATTTTCTAGGGTTTACTTTATCCTGACATAGGCTCTTGTTTGGTTTCTCAGATGCCCAGGCTGGGCTCCAACTTCAGATTCTCCTACCTCTCAGCCTTTTATAGGGCCAGGTTTACATGTGTATGTCACGACTTGAGGCTTGAAATGTGAGTGATTTTTTTTTAAATTTTATTTTAGAGACAAACCAGACCAAACATAACACAATAAAACAAATCAGAATAGAACAATGGAAGTGAAACAGCTCTTCAGAACAAGACAACAGGAAATCAACAGTGGCTACCATAGTGTCTCTCATTTCTTCAGAATAGCTGTCCATTCCATCACAGTAAAATCAAACAAAACAAAATACAGCAAAATCCCTCAAAATGAAAGAATGAAAACATTATAGGTCTTCAAAACAAGGTAACAGGAAATCAACAATGGGAACCATAATATATCGTATTATCGTCAAAATAACTATCCAAACCATTACACATAATAAAATGAAAACAAAATAAAACAAAAGAATGAAAGTATTATAGAACTTCCAAACAAGATAATAGGAAATCAACAATGGTTACCAAAATACATCTTGTTATCTTCAAAATAGCTGCCCATACCATCAGGCACAGTAAAATCTAACAAAACAAGACAGAATAAAATCAAACCTAACAAAAATCTGAAAATGATACAAGAATTTGAAACAAGATAATAGGAAATTAACAGAGGTTACCACTTTCCCTTTTTAGGTGTTTTCTCCCTATCACTTTCATAGTATTTATTGTGCTTTTTGAAGCCCACTAACTCCTTCAGTTTTTTATGCTAGGGAGATAACTCAGTGTTCACCTGTATGAGTCCAAACTGTTTTACCCATGAGCATGATCTCCAATTGCATCCATTTACCTACAAGAGCCTCAAGATTATCCTACTGTATAGCTGGGTAGCTTTCCATTGTATAAATATACCGTATATCATGTGTTCTGAAGTTGATGGGCAAGTTGCTTTTTTCTGGTCTCCTGTCACGTGGAACAATTGTTTCCTCTCCTTTGATTTTTAGTCTGTGAATTTCCTTTCGAGTTTAATGTGTTTCTTGTATACAGTGTATTGATGGATCTTGTTTCTTGATCTACTCTCCCTGTATTTCTGTTTAGTGGTAAATTAAGACCATCTACAATAATGGTTACAACTGGCATGCATTGGTTCATCTTTGGTATTCTATCCTCCTGTTTTGGCCCTCCTCTTTTCCCCTTTGTTCAGTTGCCTACCCTGCTTGGCCATTCTCCTCTGCTGCTATTCCTGGAACCATAGTCATCTTTATCTCTCGCTAGATTATCCTTCAGCACTCTCTGTAGGGTTGGTTTGGTGGTCATGGATTCCTTCAGTTGTTCATCATGGAAGTATCTTATTTTTCCATCAATTTTGAAAGATAGTTTTGCAGGGTGCAAATCTGGGTTGGAAATTGTTTCTTTTCAGGATTTGAAACACTTCACTCCAAACTCTTTTTGTTTTGATGGTTTGTATTGGCACGTCTGCCATGATTCTGATGGGTTTTCCTTTGTAGGTGATCTGTTTCTTTTTTCTAACAGCTTTTAATGTTCTTGTGCTGAATTTCTGGGATCTTGATTGTTATATGCCTGGGTGTAGATTTGTTTTGGTTATGGCTAATTGGAGTTCTCTGTGCCTCATTATCTGGATGCCAGATCTTTTTCCATGTTTGAGAAATTTTCTATTAGTGTTCTATATATTCTTTTCATGTCATTTGTGTTGACTCCTACTTTTTGAGACAGGGTCTCGCTCTGTAGTTCAGGCTGGCCTTGAGCTCACTTTGTAGCCCAGGCTAGTCTCCAACTTGGAAGGATTCCCTTGTGTCAGCCTCCCAAGTGCTGGGATTGCAGGCATGTATCACCATGCCTGACTGACCCTTGCTTCTTCACTGATACCTGTCAGCCTTACATTATTTTTCTTTGTGTCAACTTGCAGCCAGTTGAATTGTATTTCCTGGTTCCTTGTTATTTTTAAGAGATCTTTCCTTTCAAAATACTAGCTGTGATCCTATCTTTAAAGTCTGAAAGTCTATCTTCAGTTGCTTTCAAGTGGTTTTGCCAGCTTTCGATTGACTTTTTTAATTTCCTGGTTATCTCTTTGAATGTTTTGGGCATTGTACTTCTTCCTTATATTGTTCATTTAATGTTTCCATCATTTAGATAAGCATAGCAGTTCTTTCATTATGTTTGTGATTTCTTCCTTTACTTGAGATATTATTTCTATCTGATTGTTTTTATAGTCTCATTAAATTGTTTCTTTACTTCAGTTGCTATCCTCTTAGAGATTTCAGATGTGTAACTTTCATTTTCTTCCATGTCTATACCTTCCTGACTTGTTCTGTGTGGGCTGGAGGTCTAAGATTGCCTTTTTTCCTTTCCTTGTGATATTTTCTTGAGTTCCTCCCAACAAGCTGGTTGTAGGGCTCCAGGCACTTCACAGGTTAGCTGCCTCTCTGCAGAGTAGGGGAATGGGCCAGGCACCTGGGTTTCTTTGAACCAGGTTCCCAGAGAGGTAGGAGGGCAGGGGGTTGGCTTCTCCAGACCTGTGGAACTACACTGAAGCTTCACCAATGGCCTTGAGTGCATGGTAGCACTGTTGCTTTTCTCTTAGCCTTGCGTGTCTACACTGGCCTCCCCTGATGACGTCAGGTATAAGGGTGTGTTTGTGTGATTTTCCCGGTGGGCGCTGGCTGCCCGAAGGAAGAAAGGGTCTCTAGTGGCGGCCTGCAGGCCCAAAGGGTGTATCTGGCTATTTCTGCCTGGCCACACTGGTTATCTCAAAATGTGAATGTTTTAAGTACAGTGTGATTTGTAATAATATTCCTGGGAACACTGAGCTCCTTTTATGAATTAACTGCATCTGCTTATACACTGATTAAGAGGAGCATGATATAAGAAAATCTGGTGTTTTCTAGAATAAGTAATACAATTGTTATTTTTATTTCGAAAGCATAACTTTAAATTGTTTATGCTTATCCATGGGAATGTAACTCAGTGATAGAACACTTGCCAAGTGTGCATGAAGCATGAGGTCAGTCCCCAATACCACAAAAATAAGTACATAAAAATTGTTTATGGTCATAACAACATTTAAGGATTTGGGGGTCAAAAATTATGTTGAGAATTGTTCAAGTTCCTGCTTTGAGAATATAGTAGTCTCCTTTTACCTGATGAGATATGTTCTAAGACTTCCCAATATATGTCCAAAACTACAGATATTCCTGGGCCCTATATATTTTGACCATCTTTTGTGCAGAATGGTTAGGACCAGAAGTGTTTCATATTTCAAGTTTTAGTGATTTTAGAGTATTTGCATAGACTTTTCTAATTGGGCATACCTAATCTGCAAATCCAAAAGTATGAAAGTTTTAGGTATTTTGTTGGTATTCAAAATGTTTCAGATTTGGGGGTGTTTTAGATTACAGAGTTTTGGACTGTGGATATTCAGCCCGTATATACTGTTTTGTTTTGTTTTTTTTCTGTGCGTAACATACTGTTAGCAGCTTTTGTTGCTGTGACAAAAATTACTAACATAAACAGCTTAAAGGTAGAGTGGTTTATTGTAGCTCCTAGGTTAGAGATTTGAATTGATGATTAATGGTTCCATTGTTGGGCCAAGAACGAAGCAGAATATCCTATTGGTGCATGTTCACCACGTAGCAGCTAGAAGCAGAGAGGAGAGTACAGGAAAGAGCCAAAGAGCAAGCAGGAGGCACAAGATGTACTTCCCATGACCACTCCCTTCCAGTAGGATCCTCCTCCTGTTAGCATGCAAGTTTAATTAAGCTTAACTTTTTTGACAAAAGGTTACCCATAACTGTTTTATCTAGAGATGTACCATATATTTACTGAAGTATGCATGTTGAGCAGTGCTTATTGAGTGAAAAAGACCATTTCTAGGAGTATAAGTCTAAAAGAAAAGGAGCTACTAATTTTGACTTTGCCATTATTGTGTCAGAAAAGCTCCACTATATCTCAATTCTAGTACAATTTAAAGTGACTTAGAATTGTTAGGCTCAAGTCTAGAAGACTGAATAGTTATTAGGAACGGCTAAAGATTTTAGGACTTGATTGTATCTGATTTTAAGAGCATTACTAGTGATCATTTTAATTTTAAAGCAAGAAAGGATTGTAGATATTATTATCTAGAGAGGTTTCTTGACTTTATAGTTAAGAATATTAAATTCCAGAGGTAATAAGACTTCTTGAGGGGCAGAGCTAGTTGTTTCACATTGATGGTGGTTGGTTATAGATACATTGTGGATTTACATTTTCTTTTTTGGGTACCTAAGTTTACTGCTAAACTACTTTTTTTTTAATAGTAGGAGAAATGTGTATAATAAATTTCAAGTCTCTTAATTAAAGAATCACTTAAAATGCTAGTTTTTCTTGTCAGTTCCTATTGTAGTCAGAGTTTACAAGGTAAACAATTACAGGACACCTAATTTATAGATTTATTTTATAGTAGTTACCCAAAGAGTCAAACTCAAAAAGTAAAGGAAATCTGTCCACACATTAAAGACCCAATGAGGGCCTGGATCCCTTCACAATGTCCTGCATGAGTCCAGCTGAAGACCTAGAGCCCATGGCAATGCCCTCCCTGTGAGTGAAACTGGAGGCCATGACAGTGTCTCATGCAAGTGTGTTTCATGGAACTGCACTGGGAAAGCCAAAGGTCAGCAGTGGAACGTAGAAAATCTGTGCCAACGTCTATCCTTGGTATTGACTGACAGCTTTGTTTTGCCATATTTGACTGTATTCTTCCCCCCCCCCAAAGAAAGTAATAAGCCACTAAGGAGTAATAAAATCCAAGATGTGTAAATATTGTTGTAAAAAAGAGAGGGAAAAAAAAAAAAAGAAAAGGAGCTCTAACGGATATAACAGCAAGTGTGTTTGGGGGTGTTAAATAGCTGACTTTATCAATGTTTTTGGAACATTGAACACAGCTGTTTGCAGTCTCCCTGTTTGAATGTCCACCTTGTGTTCTTTGATACTGTGATTTGAGGAACTATTTTCAAGAAAATAGTGTGTAATCTACTAGCAGGTAATTTCTTACTGTTATGGTTTTTTGTTTTGTTTTGTTTTGTTTTGTTTTGTAGTTCTGTATTGCGTGTACCCTTACGCCGCTTTGGTTTGTTTTGTGTTTTTCTCTTTTTCCTCTTAAATAAAAAAAAAAAAAAAAAAAAAAAAAAAGAAAATCTGTGCCAACAGGGTGAAGGAGCTGTGCCAGTAGGCTGAGGGCTCTGCACTGGAGCCAGGAAGTGATGGCCAAAGTGAGGATCAGAGCTCCCCCAGAAAGTACCACAGCCATCCTCAGCAATGACGAGGTCCCAAGCTCCTCTGATGATAACTGGCAAGTTCATATCAGGAAGCCATAGTGACAGGTTTCTTTAGGAGATTGGAGAAACACATCTTCCCCCTCCGGAGCCAAGAAGCAATGCTCAGAGTAAGGGCCAGAGCTCCCCCAAAGTGAACCGCAGCCATTCTCAGCGACAAGGAGGTCCTGAGCTCCTCTAACAGTAAGGACAGCCATGTTCATATCAGTGAAGAAGCTCGGCAAGCTCCTCAGGAGAACCCACAGCAACAGGAGAAGCCAGAGCATCTCCTTTTCCTCTCTGGTTCTCCCTCTTGAGCTGTTGGCAGCCATCTCCAAGTGGGCCATCCACAGCCAGCACCACACTCATTCAGTTCAGCCAGGTACAAGTTGCCCACCAGTTGTCAGCCAGCTGAAGTTTCTAATAAAAGCCTGACTGTTAAGGCAGTGTCAGATGTTTGCAAGCCTGATTTGTTTGGCAGGCTGTGTAGCCTGAGATAATTTAGAATTACTTCCTTGAAGAAGTGCACATTATTTTATCCTGTGTTTTTAAAAACGAATTATTAACCATGCAGTAGGAGTAAAATAGTTAATTTTGTTCAGTATCGATGCTGTTCTTGTTCTTGTTCCCTCTGTTCCAACAGAAAGCTTTTTCCAATACTTAGATTGTTTTTTAACATTCCTTGGAACTAATGTAATGTTATGGACAAGACATAGACTTTGAATGCACATAGAACTGTATTTTAAAGCACTCTGTCGTTTAATAACTGCCTGACTTTACTGGCTTTTGTGTAAAAAAAGGCAGCATCTGTTCTATAAGATTGTTTTCGGAATCATAAAAAACATAGGGAAATAAATATGAAGAGGTAAATGTATGCGTGTATATTATCCCTTTTCTTCCTATACTGTTGGTATTTTGGTGATACGTGACTGAATTATGTAAATAAATTGTGGAAAGGCATTGTCCTAGGTTAACTCAGGGAACAATATTTTGCTGTTTGAGACTACATAATTGAATGAGTTTTTAAAAATATTTTTTCTCTCTCTTACAGGCAACAGATATTAAGGAGACATCTCAAAGATGCAAACAAAAGCAAGATGTTATAGAAAGGAAAGATAAACATGTAAGCTTCCTACTGGAATTTTTATTATTTTAATTTGCCCAGGTCTCTCCCCCACCCCCAGTCTAGATAATGGGTCAAATTCTTGTTTGGAAGATGTCAAAGGTTCTCCTCCTTCTCTATTTCTTATATTAATCTCTGAAGGAGATTTAGGATCTGGGCATATAATAGTTACACAGAAGATCAACAGGGGGAACTTCTCAAAACTACTATTTTAGCTAAGCTCACATGTATTTTTTTTTAAAGATCTTATAATTTTTATTTTAATTTTTTCATTCACTTAAGGATACTTATACATTGTGATTGGTTTAATTTCTACCACTATATATTTTGTTGGGGGGGGGCTTGTCCTGGGGAATAAACCCAAGGCTTTGCTCCACTGAGCTAAATCCTGATCCCTTAGATACGAAATTTAAGCTTTTTTGTTTAGTGTCTAGTTATACTGCTTTATGTAAGTAAATGCGACCTTTATGAATTTAGAATTTTTTTGAGACATCTTTTAGATTTCCATCATACATTCGATTTACATATATGTTTGAAATGTTTTGCTTCTGTTATTTGTGACTATGTAACTTTCTGTATGTATATGTTAGAATAGGTTTACTATAATTGTGTTTCTCAAATGTACTTTTACCTAGTGTTTTTTTTTACCTAGTTGACGAGTCCATTTTTATGTGTTAATATTGTATTTCTTATAAGTATAGAGTTGTATTTTTCCTTTCTTTGTATTAATTTTTGCTGCCTAGATTTTAAAGCTTTGTTTTTCTGTTCTTCCTTTCTTTTTTCAAATTTTATTTTATTTTTTATTTTTGAGACAGGGTTTCACTGTGCAGTTCAGGCTGGCTTTGAACTCACTTGTAGCCCAGATTGGCCTCAAACTCACAGTGATGTTCTTGCCACAGCATCCCAAAAACTGGGATTACAGGCATGCACCACCACTGAGCCATTATTTTTTTAATTTCTGTGTTGTATTTTGCTTACTGTTCAACAGTATGTACTTTTGTTTTGTTTTACAGTACTAGAAAGTAGACCCAATGGTTTTTCACTGAGTTACATCCAAAGCCCTTTTTGTTTGTATTTTTATTTTGAGAGATAGTCTCAAGTTGCCCATACTGGGCTGTATTCTCCTGCCTCAGCCTCCCAGAGAGCTGGGACTATGGGTGTGTACTGCCATACCAAGCTTCAGTTTATTTGATTTGTTGTAAAATCCTTTCTGTCAGCAAAGGAATTTAAACCGTTTACATTTGCTATTATGTTTTTTACTTGTAGCTTTTGTTTGATTCCTTTTACTAGTCTTTCTGCTTACTGTTGTAGTTAATCAATGTTTTTACTCCATTTTTATTTATTCTGTAGTTGTATGTTCTAGGCCTATTCTAGTACTCTTCAAGTTTAATATATTTATCTAATTAAAGTTAGTTACTAGTATTTTTATTCTTTCACCTAATTAAGGTAAAAATCATAGCATACTTATATGTCTTCACCTCCATATTAGTATTAGAAATTTGACTTACTACTTCAAATGTTACTTTTTACTCTTGGTATTTATTTGATTTAATATGTCTTATTGGTTTATTTGATCATGTTGCTTTCTCTATCACATCTTCTGGTACCTTATTATGAAAAGATGGAGATTACTTTTTTCCTTGTTAGACTATTTTTTGTAGGTCTTCCAGAGGGGCATTTGGGGTGATAAACTTTACGAGTCCTTGTGTAGCTGAAAAGATCTTTTTTTAACTCTCCTCTGCAATGTTGTATGATAGATGATTTCTAAACTAGAAATTGTTTTACTTTCCTCAGCATTTAAACAGTCTTGCTTCAGTGTTCTCTTGGGTCCAGTATTGCTCCTGAGAAGTTACACATAGTGGTCAGAGACATACGATGGCTATGTATGAAAACAAAACAAAAAAGGAGGTTGAATTTGATTCTAAGTGTAGTGAAAAGCCATGAAAAGGCCTTGAAAGTTTTTTGGTTTTTTTGCTGTCTTCAAGCTAGGGGTAAACAGTATTTCTAACTTTTTGACTTAACAATTCATGAGTAGTGGTGATGCTTCCTGAAATAAGAATCATTAGGAGGGGGAAATAGTTTTATTTTGACTATGTAAATTTCTTTCTTTTTTTTTTTTTTTTGATTGGTACCAGGGATAGAACTCAGGACTGCGCGCTTGCAAGGCAGGCACTTATGCCACTGAGCTAAATCCCCAGCCCCTAAATTTCTATTTTAAACCTGTTTGTGTTTTGAAAGGTCTCGGAGACAGTCAATAGTTGAATCATGGTTTTTAATTCATTCTGTCGGTCTCTGATTTTTATTTTATTTTTATTTTTATTTTTTTTGGTACCGGGGATCAAACTCTCGATCTTGTACTTGCCAGGCAGGCAATTAAGCCACTAAGCTAAATCTCTGGTGGCCTCTGATTTTTGAATTAGAATATATAATGCATTTATACTTAATGTAATTCCTGACAGGGAAGGTTAACACATGCCAGTTTGCTAATTCATTTCCAATGTCACTTGACTTTTTTGTCCCTCTTTCTGTTATTTCTTTATTTTATGTTAATAGACATTTTCTGTTAGAAGATTTTCAGTTCCTTCTTGCTGTTTTTCTTGTCTTGTTTTGTTTCAGTCTTTGAAATTGAACCCAGGTCCTTCACACAGAGCTACATCCCAAGCCTGTTTAATTTTTATTTTGAGACAGGTTCTCAAGTTCAGGCTGGGCTCAAACTTGGTGATCCTCTTGCTTCAGCCTCTGAGAATGCTGGCTTTCCAACCATGTACCGCCACATCTGGCTGCTCATTTCTTTTGCTATTATTTTTCAAGCTGTGTTTTTAGTGGTTACCTTGAGAGTCAAATCAATATTAATTTATAATACTGTAGTTCAGATTAATATTGATAATACACAAAACTTTGCTCAGACATGCCTGTATTTCTTTTTCCCTACAATTTATATTTATGTATTTATTTTTTGACTTCCCAATTATTTTTTTAATTTTAAACTTTATTACAAGAAAAGGTACATTGTTATTAATCACCCTCAAAATCCTCCTCATTTTGAAAATGCGTATCCCAGCATTCTTGACATTTTGATTTTTATTTTTGATCTTTTGAGATACACTCTCACTGTGGGGTTCAAATGGATCTTGAACTCACTGTAGCTGAGGCTGTCCTCAAACACACAGGGATCTTGCTGCGTAAGCCTCCTGAGTGCTGGGATTCCAGGTGTGTACCACCACACCTGGCTTTTTTTTTTCAATTAAGTTTATTGGCACAATCTGGATATACATAATGATCACATTCATCATAAGGGATTTGTACCTGTATATAATATGTCTTGATTCCTTTTTTCTCCTCATTCCCCTCCCCTACCTTTGACCCCTCTTTCCTTCCTTAGTTACAAAACTTTGTTTCTATTGACTTCTCAATTCTTAAAAAAATTTTAGTACATGGGTTTTAGCACATAATGATTGCAGTTATCACGCAGAGTTGATACACGTATGTGACACATCTTAATTCTGATTTCTTCTTCCCTTTTTCCTCTCCCCCATGTTTTGGTCCCCTTGCCATAAATTTTATTTTTAATCATTATAATCCCACCAACATAATCTTTCAATTATTTCTTTATATGATTTGGATTTTGCAGTGTTTCTGATTCTCTTGACAGCAGCTGGGTGTCCTACAATTCAGTTCAATTCAGTCAGCACACACTTAGTGGAGAAGGGCTCAGTCTTATAAAACTATTTCACTTCACAAACAAAAGAAAAAAAAAAAACACTTCACTTTGACGGTCACAAGTACAGTCTCCACTTAGCACATTTCTGTCTTAACTGTACAGGAAGGCTTCCAGTAGCACCCTATTTAAGTCTAACAGTTTACTAGATGAACAGTAGACCCCAGGAAAGTACTGTACTTAATAGTCAATAGTTTACTTATAAAGCAAACAACTCTACACAGCAAATGGAAGAGATACATGGGACAGGATATGAGGAATGGAGTATGCATAGCTTTTATTCCTTCTCTGGACTTAACTATTTTCCTTGCAATCACCAACCCAGAATGTCTCTAAATCATACTTGAGAAATTTGGCTCCATTGTTTCTTCAAAAATTCTCTCTATATCTCTTTTTTCTTCTGAGATCCCTGTGACGCATATTTTGAAATGCTTAATCATCTCCTACCAGTCTCAGACTCTACTCATTTTTCTTTATGCTTTTTTCCTTTTGCTCCTCGGACTAGATAATCTCAATTGATTTGTCTTTAAGTTTGCTTAACAGTTTGTTCTGCCTGCTCAGATCTGTTGAATGCTTCTGGCAAAACTATTGTTTTAATTACTATACTTTTCAATTCCAGAATTTTTAATTAGTTCCTTTTTTATAGTTTCTGTGTCTTTATTGATACAATAGTCAACAAGATGTTGTTCTTCCTTTCTTTTTGTTTTTTAAATTTAGTTTCCTTTAATTAATTGAAAATATTTTAGACAGCATTTTTTAAGATCTTAGTCTTATAAGGCCATGTTACAATTTAAATCTAGTCTCCTGAAATTCTCATGCATTTAGAAAGTAATTGAGCCAGAGGTTTAGCTCAGCAGCATAAGCACCTGCCTTGCAAGTGCAAGATCATGAATTTGATCCCTGGTACCAAGAAAAGAAAAGAAAAAGAAAACATATAAAGTGATTGAGTCATGAGAGCATTATACTTACTGTTGGACTCATCCACTGATAACTTCAGTAGCTAACTGTGCTGTTAGGAGATGGGTCACTGAAGATATAATATTGAAGGATGTGTTCTTTCCCCCAGCTCCTCTCTTTTTGCTCTGCTCCCTGGCTGTCATAGATTGAGCACTTTTCCTCTGGAGTCAGCGAAATGGGGACTGAATTGTCTGAAAACCATGCCAAAATAAACCTCCCCTCTTTAGTTGTGAATGTTGGATATTTTGTCCCAAGGAGTGAAAAGTAACCAATTGGTGCTGGAGAACTTGGATTGTTGCTATGACTGTCCCTGGTTTAGAACCCTTTGGAACTAGTTTGTGGTAGAATTGGAAACGGTTTGGTGATGTGGGTTAGGAGAACCTCCAGAGCCTGATGGTGATTCTAGATAGAGCTTGGGAGACCAGAATGTTGACAAAAATGTGGACAGTAAAGACCAGGCTTAGACAATTTCAGCTGGAAGCAAGGGCTTCATTGGCAGAAGGTTTCAGTTGGGAACAAGGCCATGTGTTTTACATTGAGGCATAAAAACTGCCTAAATTTTGCCTACATCGTGAAAATTTGCAGGAAAATGGAGGTTAAGGGTAATAGAATAATAAATCTGGTGGAAGAAATTTCAAGGTAGCCCAACATGTGGTGTGGGTATAGTTTGCTGCTGTAAGCCAGATACATAGTGAAAATTGGAGGCAAAGGACCGAGCCAAAAAGTTGAACACATTCAGAATTTTTGCTCAAAATGAACTATGTGTAAAGTTGGGACAAAAGTATGTATTGTTGCTGAGGAGATTAGCACCACTAAAAAGAAGGCAAGTACTTTGCATGAGGAGTGTAGAAAAGATGCTTTGACGATATCTCAGGAAATGGTCAGATGTGGCCAGGAATGTGACATAGCGCCTGCCTGGCAAGCGTGAGGTCCTGGGTTTGGTACCTGGTACCAAAAAATAAAAATAAGTAAATATTTCCCTTAGGTCTCAGAGGAGACTTTGGCTTTGGGCTTTTCAGTAGTTTTGGAACTGTTAAGACTTAGGCCTCTCTGGGAGATGGATTAAACATATTTTGCATAACAAGATGCATATGAGCCTTTTGGGTGCCAGGAAAGAATATTGGGGTTTAGTTCTAAAATGTCTCTGAGGAGTCTTGTGTTCAGGGAGGGTGATTGGATTATGGAGTCATTGTACTAGGTGAATTTATCTGTTGAGTTCAGTAGCTAACTGTGCTGTTAGGAGGTGAGACTTCATTAGAGGTGGGTCTGTGGAGATGGAATCTTAAGTGTGTATCTTAATCTTAAAATAATCTTAACTTATCTGCCATGAGTTGAGGATCTTTCTTCCACCATTCTGTTCTGCCTCGGAGCTAGCCAAACGTAGACTGAATGAGCCAAAATAAAGTACCTCCTTTAAGTTGTGAATGTTGAGTATTTTGGCCCACTGATGGCAAGGTAACCAACATGGTCCACTGCTAGACATTCTCCAGGATTGTTGACTGCTGTTTTTCCTTCTTTGTGCGCTCTATTTTCTCATTTATATGAATATCCTTGTTGCTATTGTTGTTAAAATTGGACAATTTAAATAACAAAATGTAACAACTCTGGAAATGAGTTCTCTCACCAAAGCTTGATGTTATTGCTGTTCTTTGACAATGATGTTGCTGTTGCTGTTTGTATAAAGATTTTAATTCTGCAGAATTTGTATTCTATTTCATATATAACTACTAATGTCACGTAAACTTAGTGATCCCCAAATGACTGATCAGTTATTTCTGAAACTATTTTTTCTCCTGATCTTTGTGAAAAGTTTGTGATAGGTCACATCTTCTAACACTTAGTTCAGCAATATTTTCACTTTTTTGTTGACATCTATTCATTTTTCTAGTTATTGAAAAGTGGTTAATTTCCACTCTAGTTTACAACTCTGTCCTAGCTTTGACTTTTATTGTCAGTAGCCTCACAATAAAAACAACTGTGAGTTTAGGGCCTTCTCAGGTGTCTCTTGAATATGTACACACTCCTACTAACACACATGGACCTTCGGATCCCTGGGCATTTCTAAGACTTTGAGAGTGAACATAACATGTTCCTTTGTAAGATTTTTGTTTGTTGTTTTCTGTGACTTTTGTTCTTCTTCAGGCAACTGCCGTGTTAAACATCTGCTGCAGATTGCTTTTGACAAATGTGTCCAGGGAAAAGACTGTTTTACCAAGGATTAGCTGAGTTAGATCAAACAATGACCAACCTTGCAAGTTAAATTTGTAAGAAACTGCCTTACAAGACAGATAATGACAATTCGCTTGAGTGAAGATTTAAGAGCTCTAAACTTGTTCTTATCTTTCCAGGGTTGCTAGGCTGCAATTTTCACTGTGGTTGTGGATGTTGGTTTTCCAAGGCTACCACAGAAGTAGGGAGTGGAGATGGAGTAGCACATACTCAGAATTCCATAGCACTTATGTTTACCAAGACAGGCAGCCAGCCAGTTTTGTGGTACACGCCTGTAATCCCAGCACTCAGAAGGCTGAGGCAAGAGGATCTTTGCAAGATTGAGACCAGCCTGGGCTGCCCAGTGAGATTAAGGTCATCCTGAACTACATAGCGAGACTGTGCCCCCCCCCCCCCCAAAAATCACATTTTTCTTACTGAGCACTTACTGAATTGCTACCGGCATTTTGGTTAAATTCCAGAGTTCTATAAAAGTTAATTTTGACTGTCTTTGTCATTATTCATTGATTTTTATGGAGGACAGAATTTTAAGAGTTCCTTACTTCGCCATTCCTAATGAAATCCAGATCTTTTCTATATCTAAGAAAACTGTAGCTGAGATTTTAGTTGGATTAAACCTTTGGGGAAAATCAAAATTTTTACATTATGTCTTGTAGTCTAAGAGTGTTTTATATCTACATTTATTTAGATCTTTAATTTTCATAGCATTTTGTAGTTCTAACGTACAGAACCTCTGTATTTTGTTAATATTCAGTCAGCTAGGCTGCCTGATTTTCTCCATTCCTCCCTCCCTCCTTTTCTTTCTTCGTGGTAGATTCCTTGGAATTTTCTGTGTCCTGTCATGTACGCATAAGGACAGGCTTGTTTTTTTCCCTGTCTGATTTCTATGGGTAAGTTTTTTTTGTTTTTTTCTTACTGCACTGGCTAGAACTTCCAGTACTCCTGCATAACAGTGATGAATGTGGGCATCCTGGCCTCGTTCTTGATCTTAAAGGAAAGCATTTACTTTTCACCATTAGCTATCTTGGCAGAAGATTTTTTTTATAGATGCTCTTTATCAGATTCTTACAGTTCTAACACAGGGCTGGAGATTTAGCTCAGGGTACAGTGCCTGCCTGGAAAGCACAAAGTCCTGAGTTCAATTCCTGGTACCAAAAAAAAGTTCCAATACATAGTCAGGTTTCCAAAAATTCTTATGCATGGTTGCTTTAAGTTTACCAAGTATATTTCTGAATATATTGATATGATTTTATGATTTTCCTTTTAGTCTGTTAATATGATAGATTACATTTGTTTGCTTTTTAATATCTAATTTACCTTGTATCTCTAAAATAAATCCCAGTTGCTTGTGGTCTATAAACAATTCTTTTTATATATAAATTGTTGTTGCCAATATTTTGTTTAAGGGTTTTTATGTCCATATTTATGAAGCATATTGTTCTATGGTTTTCTTTTAGTACTTCATTTGCTTTTGGTGTTAATATAATTAGGTTCATAAGAAATTTAGGAAATGATCTCTGTTGTATTTCTAGAAGAGATTGTATGGAATTGTTAATTCTTCTTAAGATATTTTGTATAATTCTGAACTGAATCTATGTTGGTCTAAAAGTATAGAATCTGTAGTGAGGTTCCTGTTTCATTCCATGGGCAATTTATGTTCTTTTGACTTTTTCCCCTCTCTCTCCTGCTCCATCTCCTAGTCTTACTAGAATTTTGTTAATGTTATTGGTTTATTTTGAGCAACCAACTCTCTGTTTCATTAATACTGGTTTTTCTGTTTTCAGTCTCATTGATGTGTGTAGTTACCTGTATTACTTCCTTTCTTCTACTTGATGTAGGTTTATTTTGTTCTTTTTACCTAGTGCTGATTGTCAAACCCAGCACATAATGCATGCCAGGCAAGTGCTGTACCACTGAGCTGCACCTCCAGGAGAAAAAAATGACCTGAAGTACTAATCTTTTATTTTAATAGATTGAGGAACTTCTGCAAGCTTTAACAGTAAAACAAAATGAGGAGCATGACCGACAAAAGAGAATAAGTAATACTCGCAAAATGATAGAGGATTTGCAAAATGAACTAAGGACTACAGAAAACTGTGAGAATCTTCAGCCTCAGATTGATGCCATTACAAATGATCTGAGACGAGTTCAAGATGAAAAGGCGTTATGTGAAGGCGAGATCATTGATAAGCGACGAGAGAGAGAGACACTAGAGAAAGAGAAAAAGAGTAAGTTATCTTAGGGTGAAGAACTGTTTATAAAATAGACATGTTATATATCTGTTGATTGGCTTTCTTCTTCCCCTGTTACTCATTGCTTTTAACAGTTCAAGGCTCCTTGCTGAGGAAGCGCAATTCATGTCTTCCGGTGTTGTGCTTTAATTACCTACAGCTGTTGCGTGCCATGATGTGCCACCTGCTGATTACATCGTTTAAGTGTCTAAAAGTGCGTTCCTTTATTTTCCTCACAGAGACACTCAGATTGAATCTGTCCTAGCCTTGATATCTATTAGTTCTGTTCTTTGAAATCTAATTTCATATTTATTTTTCTTCATTGTGTAGACCACATGTATAGGTTGATAACTAGAAGAGAAAGGTGATGTAACTCCTGTCCCTCCTCCAGACCTGCTCTCCAAAGTAATCACTTTTAATTCCTTTAGTAGTTAGTTATTTTTTTGTTTGTACCAGGAATTGAATAGCAGGAAAAGATCATTTTCTTTCTTTCTTTCTTTTTTTCCTTCTATCTCTTTATTTCTGAGACAGGGTCTCGCTGTAGTGCAGGCTGGCCTTGAATTTGCTTATGTCATTGTTTTATTAATCAATTTTGGACATCACTTTGGATATTTATTCCAGATGTCGATGTTAGCTTATAATACCTACCTCCCTGTTATTGTAGTTGTCAAATTATTTTATTAGTACCTATTTTCACTATAAATGGTATCTTTTGTGTCATTTAACAGCTGTCAATATTGAGTGTATACTCTGTAAGCTAAGCTATACCACCGTGCTCTCAGTGTTCTCTCATCTATACTTTGGCTTCTGTATTTTCAAAGCTGAAAACATCTGTATTTGATTGCAGACCATAATTGTTTGATGTGCTCTGTGGCTCAGAAACATTCATTGCTGTCTTACTGCCAGGAGGTGCTGAACCACTGGTAGTGTGTACATGACTGTCCCATCGGGCAGCACGGGGCAGTTAATCAGGTGGTACAAGCCACTGGACGGGACAGTCATATGTACCACCAGTGGGTCAAGCTGGTGGGGATGTGTCAATTCTAGAAGTTTAGCTATATATTGCTTATTGTAGCAACAAAAATTTTTCATAGCCACGTCAAATAGTATAATTAAATTTCCTTTTGTTAATAATTTTTGTAAGGTTTTAATGGACTTTTTAGAAACACCATTTGCTTTAGCATTTTCCTAAATTGAAAAAGAAGGAGGTGGAAAGACTCAGGCATTCTCTTGAATTTTGTGGCTTTCCATTTAAATTGGTGGTTCCCAAGGGCTGTTACCTGGTTGTTGTTTGGAGTTTTTCCTCACACTTTTCCTATGTTGAATAAGCTATTCCTGAATTCTGTGTCTTCCCTTTTTTCTCTGAAACTATACCCTTATTTTGTTACAGGACATTTTCAGATAAGCGCATAAGAAAAGGATTAATTTTATTAACTGCATCGCTGGTTTTAATATTGTTGGGTATTTGTTGAAAGATATTTTTTTTTTTTTTTTGGCAGTAGTGAAGTTGAACCCAGGTCCTACACACTAAGCTACATCTCTAATACTTACTTTTTTAAAAAAGTATTTATTTTTGATATTGGAGATCAAACTCATGACCTCATGCTTGCCAGGCAGGTGCTTACACCACTGAGCTAAATCCCCGGTCCTTATATTTTATTTTGAAACAGGGTCTCATTAAGTTACTAAGTTGCTAAGACTGGGCTTGATGTGAATTCTCTTGTTTTAGTCTCCTAAGTGGGATTAAGGCATGCACCACCACACTTGGCTTCTCATAGATTTTCTTTTTCTTTTTCTTTTTGAGACAAGGTCTTCCTATGTAGTTCAGGCTGGCCTTGAGCTTGTTCTGTAGTTCAAGCTGGCATCAAACTTGCAGCAATCCTTCTGCCTCAGCCTCCTGAGTGCTGGTATTACAGGTGTGCATTATCATATCCATCTTCTCAGAAATTTGAAGCCTTTTTGCTTCTGTCTTCTGATTGGAAAACTAGTACTTCCTCATTCTTTTGTAGATGATTTGTTTTTATTTTCAGTAGTGTCAAGATCATTTTATTATCCTAAGTATTAGGAAATTTTAGAATGATTAGTCTGGATGAAGTCTTTTCCACTACGTTTAGTATTTGCTTAATAGTATTTGTAACATTTAGATTTAGGATAATTTTTTTGTTATTAAAGGATGGTTTCATGGCTTGAAGTTTTCAGAAAAACAACACCCACTTTCCAATTTTAGGTGTGAGTGAGCATATTGTACGTTTTGACAATCTCATGAATCAAAAAGAAGATAAGCTGAGACAGAGGTACCGGGACACATATGAAGCTGTTTTATGGCTGAGAAGTAACAGAGACAAATTTAAGCAAAGAGTTTGCGAGCCTATAATGCTTATGGTAAGAACTTTTGGTTTTATTATTACAGTCATTGTAGATTTTCGTTATTTTAAGAATTCTTAGTCCTCTTAACAATTTTTCTGGTTATAGACATGTGATATGTCTGGCATAGAGCTGAATTTGTGTATGAGATTTATAAAAGTCTTGTAATCATTGAGAGTAACTATCAAAAAACCTGTGAACCTTTTTCTAGAAAAAAGGTGTGTGAAACTGACAGCTTACCATCCATGAATCTTGTATAAAATTGTCTTGGTTAGCTGGTTCTTAGTACATAATAGATTAAAACCTGCTAAGGAGGTAGATAAAGGAACTTGTAACCTGATAGGCAAGAAAATTACCTGCTGTTATTAAAGGCAACAGGAGAGTTTTGATAATGAAATAGTTTATTAACATTATATATATATTTTTTGAACCAAGAATCAAACTCAGGACCGCACATTTGCCAGGGAGGTGCTGTGCCACTGAGCTATATCCCCAGCCCAACATTATAGTGTATTTGGTAGCTCTTAACTGATGTGTGTGGGTCAGCAGGATGAGGTTACACAGGTAGTGTGGTGGTATGGTACACACTCCTATCCCCAGCTACTTACAAAGCCAAGGCAAGAGTGCTGTCACAAGTTCAGTGGCAGTGGGGCAATTTATCAAAGACTATGTAAAGTTTGGCTATGTAAAGGAATGAAAAGGTAAAAAGCTATATTCTTTGATAATAATGTATTAGACATAGATATATAAACTTGAGACTTACCCAGATAAAGATTATTTTTCCTAGATTTTTTTGAAAAAAATTGATTGATCAAGCATGATGGCACACATCTATAATCTCAGCACTTGGAAGACTGAGGCAGGAGGATACCACAAGTGGAGGTCATCCTGGGCTGCATGGCGAGACTCTGTCTAAAAAAAAGAAAAAAATTGATTCTAGATCCTTGCAAAATTCTTTGAAAGTGTCATTTTCTTTTTTTTCTTTTTTGAAACAGGATCCTCACTGTGTAGTCCAGGATGGCCGTGAACTCACTGTGTAACCGAGGTTGACCTTGAACTCCTGACAATCCTTCTGTCTTAGCCTTTTGAGTTCTAGAGCTATAGGTATACACCACCATGCCTGGCAAAAAGTTTAGTTTTCTACAACTTGGATTTGTGGCATACTTCATGGAATCACTTATATAAATTTTAATCTTTTATTATATCTTACATTAACAAATCTGATATGAATAATATAGTCTATTCTTGTTCAGGGATGCATTAAAATATTTTTGCCAGATCAAGATAGTTTCTATTTTTTGGATATAGAGACTGTTTTGAAAAATCTGACAATGATCAAAAGAAAAAATAAATACCATAGCCCTTGGTATGTTATAATGCAAATATAATTATCAATAGATTTTTATAAAAATGCCAAATTTAAAATAATATTTCAGATTTTTTTAGACTTGTCATCTGTTATTTGATTTTCTTACATTCTAGTCATTTTACTAGTTGGAGTATATTTATATTTTAAATTACACTTGAATCTTTAAAATCTGTTGTGTCACCCTTCGTAGGAGAACTCTTCACCTTTTCTATCACTCTGTGCATCCCTAATCCTTCAAGGATAGATGAAATCTTATCACCTCCCTAGGCAAGTTAGCAATATGCAAACTTAAAATTCAGGCATACAACTGTCACTTGGGAATCTGTTTCCATAGTTTCTAACAGCTCCAGTCTAGAGTCAGAGAAGTGTAGAAAAGTTTATTTACAGATGTACTGCTTACAATAATGTTTATAATGTTTATAATAGCAGACAGATGGGGTGAAAGAAGAAAATTTATAAAGGTACCACTTGGTGAAGTAAATTGCTCTTACAGTGAATACTTCTCCAACATTAAAAATACAGCTCTCTGATAATAGGAGACATTTATGATGTTTTAATGAATTATAAAACAGGTTACATAGTAGGATGTATAGAAAATTTCATTTTAAAATTGTGAAACAGGAGGCTGTCATCAACCACCAGATCATTTTGGAGTGCTATGTCTCCTTTATTTCCCTATCATTTATGTCACAACTTTGTAAAGATGTGACTGTGAAGTTGTTTGGAAAAGTTTGACAAGTATCTTCATCACTAATCTCATGAGGAGAGGGAATATCCACAAAAATGGGAAACTGAAAAAATCAACAAGGCAGCTAACTCTTCCAAGATGTTAGGAAGCCAGACCGAAGGCAGTGGAATATGCCTTACGCTTGCAGAAAACTGCATCAGTCACTATGGGAACCACAGATACTGACCAGTAAAAGACTGAACACATTACCTCTCTGAACAGGTGAAATGCATCAGATCATTGAATAGTGGTGTACCCAATTTACACAAAATGAGGGCCCCAGAATCTGGAATACAGACTGTCTCTTATATGTGGGGGGAAATGATGATGAGACTTACGTTCTAGGCTGGATTGTCTATAACTATTTAAAAATTGCTTAATTTGACAATATCATGGTTACTTTTACCCATTCAGTGAGTTGAAGGACAAGTATCTATTTACATTTTGTTTCATTTGTATTTTAATAAAGTATTACCAAAGTTTACCAAAAAAATTATAAAACACAAAAGTCTTATAATGCTTACGCCCTGAAGATGTGGTTTTAATTTTTTTCTTGTGTGTCTATTTTCCCACTTTTCTGTATTTATTAATATTCTGGTGCATGGTGGTATACACCTGTAATCCCAGCACTGAGAACATTAAGGCAGGAGGATCACTCTGAGTTTGAGGCCAGCCTGAACTGGGTAATGAAACCCTGTCTCAAAAAGACCAAACACAACAAAACAAACAAACAAAACCAAAATTTGTGTAATTAGGGAGTAATATTGGCCAATATTTACATAACAAGTATTGTACTAATTTTATTAATGTTGTTACATTCTTTAATCCATATTTAGTTCTGTGAGGATATATGATTTTGTTATATTCACCTTACAGATAAAATAGCCAAAGCTTTCGGAGATTTGAGTAGCACATGAGTGAGATCACATATAGGATTTGAAAGGGCATCTTTCTGACCTTGGAGCCTAGGTTAACTAGTGTATTTCATGGTTATGATAGTACCTAAATACTTCATGTTTTATTTCTTTAAGAAAGCTGACTTTTATCTGCTAGAGGTAATCCATGTCTCCTCTAAAATTCCATAAGTAAAGTTAATATACTTATTTTATTGGGAGTTTTGTCATGCTGTGTTTTTCAGTATACTTACTCATCTGCAAAAAATAGTAGATTGTACCCTTCTTGAGATAGTTCTTTTTCTGTGACGTGTATCTTAAGATCTTCCATAAAATTGAGCCATATATTTGCACATTAGTTAATACTAGTAATTAGTACTTGTAAAATAAATCAGTAAGTTTCTCACTGTGGTGGTGCAAACCTGGGGTTTCCCTTGAAGGATAGTTAATTTAGTTAAATAGTTAACTAAATAGTTACTAGTTAAATCAGTTAAATCAGTTTTATGAAGATTTTTCTTTAAGTTCTTTGTGTTATTATACCTGTCAGTTAATCACCACGTATATGGAGTTCTATTGCAGATTAAAAGAAAAATATTAAATATTTGGGAAAATTTGAAGGCAGGAGGATTAAGCTCAAGGCCAGTTTGGGTTACATAACAAAACCCTGTCTTTACAAAGCAAGTTTGGAAAAGAAGAGAAGTGTTTATATTCTTAGATCACAACCTGATACTTCCAAATGTTTTCAGTGAGCTGGTCAGAAAATAGTTATTTCTTAGATAGCAAGAAAATTGGTGCATATATGGTACTATTCATCTTGACTTTTGTTTATATATTGGTTGTTAACAAGTTAAATGCTTTGAAAGGACCCTTTAGTACTAAGTCATTCCTCTTTTTTTGTCCTTGTATGGAAGTGAACCTAATTAAATACAAGTTATATAGACATGTTCTAGTAGTCAGTGAATTTCATAAAACTCAACTGATTTTCCTCCTGTTTAGATCAACATGAAAGACAATAAAAATGCCAAATACATTGAAAATCATATTTCGTCAAATGATTTGAGAGCTTTTGTGTTTGTAAGTCAAGAAGATATGGAGATTTTCCTCAGAGAGGCAAGTACTGACCAACATGACCTCTTTGGTTTACTTGGCACTTACCTTTCAGGGCTTAAAGCTTTAGCTTCTCTAGAGCAAAAGTGTTCATTAATTTTACCAGTTTTAACTCTCATGTAAGATTACTACATTTTGCCATTTTCTTTTCTATTTGTGTAATTATAGGGCAATAAAATTTGTTTCTAAAAGGAAGTAAGCACACTAATTCCATCTATAGTATATTTTGAAGTTATATCAAATTAATTTGAAGTGTAATTCTATTATAGTGTTCTAAGAAAAATCATGATGAACCTCGGGTTTTGAATCACTTTTGTACTTGTTTTGGAATGAACTCGGGTTTTTTTTCAAGAGCAAGTCAATATAATGTTGCTTATTAATAAAATAAACATTGTGGAAAAGACTGAAAAATCCTGTATCTGTGTAGAAAGCCACCAGTTACTGAGAATCTAAGCTACTGAAAGGCAGCTAGGATCCACATTCAAGAATGTAGGCTCTGTGGCTAGGTGGCCAGAGTTGGAATCCTAGTTTTGTTTCTAACTTGTAAATTATCTAGTGTCTGTGTGTCATATTTCTTCATTTATGAAATGAGGTTCATATTACCTACTTCAGAAGATAACTGTGAGGATTAAGTTATTAATGAGTATTAGAATAGTGCTTATTAGCTGTGGCATATTATTATATATCCACTATATGGTTACCTGTATACGACACTTTTAGCTATATATATAGATTTCTTTTATTCAGTAAGATTTTCCCCTTTACATTTGCTTCATATTTCTTTAAAAGACTTGTCTTAGTCGCTTTGACATCACTGAGAATAGTACCCAAACTTAAAGGATGAGAGGTTTATTTTGACTCAGAGTTTTAGAAATTTCAGTTCATGATTGCCAGGCTCAAACACACATATGGCATGGGAGAAGGGCCTCCTCCTGAGGAAAGCTTCTCACATGATGCCCAAGAAGCAGAGAGAAAAGGGAAGACTTAGAGAAGAAGATAAGCCTTCTGCATCATTCCTTCAGTAACCCACCGCCACCCAGACCCCACCTCCTGACAGCAAGTCAGCACCCCCATGATCCAGTCTCCTTTCACAAGCCCCAGCTCTGAACACATGAGGCTCATCAGGGACCTGGTAGATCTGAAAGACAAGGCTGATTCAGTTTGTATCTGGATATCCCCCTAAGCCTCTTGTGAACATGATGGACAGGCATTTTGTAAGTGCCTGGATGTAGGTGTGTGATTGATTTGTTGTCTAGTGCTGGGGTTGGCGGTGTGAGTGCTACATCTTCCCTGGGATAGGTAGCCTGCATGCAGTATAAGGGAGGAAAAGCGAAAGAGGCTTGCTCCTCCTTTTTGTCCACTTTGCTGCTTTTGGTGTCCTCCACCGCCATGGACTGTTACCACTCTGCAACAGTTCATATGAGAAACAAACAAATAAATAGATAAAGAAAGAAAGAAAAAATAGATAAGAAATAAATAAATAAAATGGATAAGAGAAAAATAAAATAGGAAATAAATAAACAAAATAGATAAGAGAAAAATAAAAAGAATGAATATAGGGAAGGAAGAATTTAAACTATGATTATTTGCAGATATATGTTACTGTGCTTAGAAGACTACAAAAACTCCACCAAAAGACTTCTAGATTTAATAAGCAAATTCAGTAATGTGGCTGGTTACAAAGTCAGCACTCAAAAATCAATCGCCTTCTTGTACACGAATAACAAACTCATTGAGAGTGAAATCAGGGAAACTACCTTTTGCAGTAGCATCCAAAACAATGCAATATCTAGGAATTAATCTAACGAAGGATGTAAAAGACCTCTACATTGAAAACTGTAGTGCTGGGCATGGTGGTGCATGCCTTTAATCCCAGCAGTTGAAAGGCTCAGGCAGAAGGATCATTGTGAGTTCAAGACCTGCGTGAGTTACAATGTGAGCTCAAGGCCAGTCTGAACTGCATAGTGAGACCCTGTCTCAAAAAGACCAAAAAAAAAGAGAGAGAGGAAGAGAGAAGAAAACTTATAGTACTTTGAAAAAGGAGATTGAAGAGGATATTAGAAAACGGAGAGGGATATCCTGAGCCCTTGGGTAGGAAGAACCAATGTAGTAAAAATGGCCATACTTCCAAAACTGTTATGCAAATTCAGTGTAATCCCAATCAAAATTCTAATAGCATATCTTACAGAATTAGAGGAAACAATCCTAAAATTCATCTAGAATCAGAAGAGACCTACAATAGCAAAGGCAATCCTGGGCAACAAAGACAAGACAGGGCATCACAATCCCTGACTTGAGATTATACTATAAAGCTACTGTGATAAAAACAATGTGGTACTGCCCAAAAAACAGACTTGAAGGTCAGTGGAGTAGATTAGAAGATGCAGAAATAACTGCAAACACACTAAACTACCTCATCTTTGACAGAGATGCCATTCACTGAAAGAAAGTGTTTTTAATAGTGTTGGAAAAACTGGCTTTCCACATGCTAAAGATTAAAAGTGGACCCATATCTTTAACCATGTACTAAGCTAAACTCAGAATGGATTAAAGATCTTAATATTAAAACAGAAACATTAAATCTGCTAGAAGATAGAGTAGGTAAAACTCTTGAAATTGGTGTAGGCAAAAACTTAATGAATAAAACCGAGTTGTATAGGACATGGCACAAAGAATCAACAAATGGGATCTTATCCTACTGAAAAGCTTTTGCACAGCCAGAGAAACCACCAACAGAGTGAAGAAACGACCCACAATGTGGGAGAAAATGTTTCCCAGCTACTCCTTAGATAAAAGATTACTATTGAGAATGTATAAAAAACTCAAAAATATCAGTCCTCCTAGATTCAAAGACCCAATTCAAAAATGGGCATTTGAGATGAACACACACTTCTCAGATGAAGAAGTACAAATAGCAAGTAAATATGTGAAAAAATGTTCACCATCACTGGTCATTCAGGAGATGCAAATTAAAACAACGCTGAGATTTCACCTCACCGCAGAGAATGGCTACTATTTAGAAATCAACAAATAACAAATGCTGGAGGGGCTCTGAAGAAAAAGGAACCTTTTTCACTGTTGGTAGGAATGCATACTGCTGCAAACGTGAACATTAGTATGGAGATTCCTCAAAAAACTAGGGTTGGAGGTCATATTCAATCCAGTTATTCCCCTTCTCAGTATCTTCTCAATATACACAGCAATATATGTGCATAGTTTGTAGTAGCCAGATCTTGGAAACAATCTAAATGCTCAGTGACGGAGGAATGAATAAAAAAGACGTGGCATTTCTGTATAGTGAAATACTACTCAGCCATAAAGAATGATAACTGGACACTTATAGGTAAATGAATGTGCCTTAAGTACATACTTATTAGTGAAATAAAGACATGTCTATGTAAACATATTGTTTCATTAGTGTGACAAGCTGAAGGAAAAAACATATGTTGTGTGTGTGTGTGTGTGTGTGTGTGTGTATATATGTATATATATATAGTTAAGATAGTTTAAAAAAGAAGAGCCATAATGGCCTCCTTTGTCTTCCACATGGCCTGTTCAGAAGCAAATCCAGTGCCTCCCTTCACTGAACATCTCTGTAGGTGCTGTCTTCTCTCCTACATCTTGTCGCGGTCTTTTTGTCCCAGAAAGAATGACCAAAGCAGTGACTCAGATCACACCAGCCTTTACTTTAACCCACTGTGAGCCATTCTGAGTTGACTTTGGGATGTTTTAAGAAATTTTTGATGTGCTATGAGGTTTGGGTTTTTTGCACGTGGCTATCCAGTTCCAGTGTATATTGGGGGTACAGTCCATTCTCCACTTCATTGCTTTTGCATCTTTGCCAGAAATCAGTTGTCTGTTATGTGGTATCTACTTTGGGACTTCATATTGGTACCTTGGTGGTTTGTCTGTCTTGATATCAGAGCCGTTTTGTCATGATTGGTGTAGCTTTGTGGTAAGTCATGGGATTGGGGAGGGTTGGAGCTCTAATTTTGTTCCTTTATCAAAGTTGTTTAGACTACTGAGTCTTTTATTTCTACATAAATGTAAGACTCAAAATGTTAATTTTTATGAAAATTGATGTTGGTATTTTGATAAGGGATTGTGTTTTCTGATCTTTATTATTTTCTTCTATTTGTTTTTGGTTTTATTCTGTCTTATTTCTAATTTTTTAAGGAAAGATATGAAGATATTTTATAACTTTCTTCTTTTCTAATAAATATACGTGATATTAAAAACAACTGAAAAAAAAAGACCAAGCTATAGCAAAACTGATCTGTTTTCGCCTTATGATTGTTTGTATGGAGATACTTTGAGACTGTCTGTGTCCTGTTTCTCATGAAACTGCCAGATAGTCCAAGAACCGTTAGTGAGGGGATAGGGCTGTAATTCTGTGGGAGAGCACCTGCCTAGCATGTATAAGGCCCTGAGTCCAACATTATGGCCTCAAGATGCCTCTGTCTTCCTACATAGACTCACACTATGCTACTTTATGGTAGAGTAGTGTATTAAGAACACATTTGCTGTATCCACTACATCTGTTGAGGGTCATAAAGGCTGCTTCCACAGTTTTATGTATTGGAAATGCTATGGGAATGCTATGGAGACGTGAGTGTACGTGTGTCACTGTAATACGATGTCTTTAACTCTTTCAGGAAAATAGAGGGGAATAGCTGGGTCGGATGAAATTTGTTTTAGGGTTTTGAGGAATCTCCATACTGATTTCCATAATGATTGTACTAGTTTGCATTCCTACCAATAATGTAAAAGGGTTCCTTTTTCCCTTGCTTCCTGCTCGCGTTCGTTGTTGCCTGAGTTTTTGACGATGGCGATTTTTTCTGGAGTAAGATAGATTAAATCTCAGTGGTGGTTTACTTTGCATTTCTTTTCTGACCAGAGTTGAACTTTTTTTAATGTATTTATTGGCAATTTGTCTTTCTTGTTTTGAGAAGTGTCTTTGTTTCAGTTGCCCATTTGTTGATTGGGTCTTTTATTTTGAGGGCTCTAATCTTTTGGAGTTCTTTATACAGTCTAGATTTTAGTTCTATGTCTGGGGAATAGCTGGCAAAATTTTTCCCATTTTGTAGGTTGTCTTTCTCTTCATTCTGTTGGTTGTTCCTTTTGCTGTGCAGAAGCTTTTTAATTTAATATGATCCCATTTGTTGATTCTTAGTGCTTTTGAGGTTCTGTTCAGAAAGTCTTGCCTTTGCCTGTGTCTTCAAGAATTTCGCCTGCTTCCAGCAAGTTAAGTTTCTATTTTAATATTTAGATCATTGATCTACTTTGATTGTAATTTAGTACATGGTGAGACATTTGGCTCTAGGTTCAACCTTCTGCATGTGAATAGGCAATATTTATAGCATTGTTTGTTAAAGAGATTTTTTCTTTCAATGTAAGTTTTTGACTCCTTTGTCAAGGATCAAGCAGCAGAGTGTGCGTGGAGTTGTTTCTGCATCCTGCATTGTGTTCGACTGATGTATAAGTCTTTTTGCCAGTGCCATGCTGTTTTTACCGTGGGAACTTTGTAGTAACACTTGAAATCTTGGATTGTTGTACCTCCTCCTTGCTTTTGCTGCCCAGTATTGGCTTTGTTCTTTTAGATCTCTCTGGTTCCATATGACTTTTAGGGTTATTTTCTCCAGTTCTGTGAGGAAAGCTGTTGGTGTTTCAGTTGGGATTACATTAACTTTGTACTTCAGCTGTGGAAGTATGACCATTTTGACTATATTGGTTCTGTCTACCCTGTCTGGGATTGACAGAACCAATGTAAAAACAAAGAACCTCTATAAAAACAAAGAACTGCAGTATCATAACCACAGTAAAAAAAATTCTTCTAAGTATCTCACATGTCTACTGTTGGAACTTCTGATTATCCCACAAATGCCAGAAGGAATGTGGTAACTTTAGACATCATCTCAGCTGAGAATATGTGATAATTAAAATAGTATATTCTTCCCCTGTCATCAGGTTCGTGACAATAAAAAGTTAAGAGTCAATGCTGTTATGGCTCCCAAGATTTCACATGCAGAGAAACCACCTTCAAAATCTCTAAGTGAACTAAAGTAAGTCTTCAAAGTACTATAGCTAATTTGGATATTCAGTAATCCTGAATGTATTTTACTTCTTTGTTGAGCAGTATGTTTGTTATCAGCTGTATTATTCTCCTTTAGGACCTCTACTGAAATCTAAAATAATGGAAAATTTAGGCTCAGGAACACAGCACATGGCATAATCACTACATGATGGTTTCAGATCAATATAGTACTGAACTATTTAAGATATTAAAATACTAGGAAAATGAAACACATTACTTTATAATGCATAATTTCCAGAAGAGCTAAATGTAAAAGTTACAATTATAAATGGTTAAAAATATCTGAAATCTGGGATTAGGGATTTAGCTCAGTGGTATAAGCGTCTGCCTGTCAAGTATGAAGTCGTGAGTTTGATCCCTGGTACCAAAAAAAAAAAAGCATGTTAAATATCTTAATTCTGGATGTAAGTAGAAAGTCTTAATATAAAACAATAACAAGAATAATTAATAAAATTTTCTACTAATGATTTAAAAGTTCAAACTTCTGACAAGGAAGTAAATAATACTAAGCTATTTTAAAATGTAAAAAAAAATTTCATATGCCATTGTTGAAATGATTTATATTTTTTATTTATTTATCCAGGCAGTATGGATTTTTCTCTTATTTGCGAGAGTTATTTGATGCACCTGAGCCTGTAATGAGTTACCTTTGCTTCCAGTATCATATTCATGAAGTTCCTGTGGGAACTGAAAAAACCAGAGAAAGAATTGAACGGGTAAGAGAATACTGAATTATTAACTGAAACATAGTTGGACTAAAATGGCTCTCAAAACAAAAAATATATCAGAAGTTGAAGTGTATTACTTTGTTTTTTAAAAATGTATTTTAACATTTTTAATTTGATACAAAAACTTGGCTAACTCTATGAAAAATTGCCATGACTTTAACTAGACTAAGAAAATTACAATTTTAGGGCAATCGAATAAAGTTAAAACCAAAAAGAGACTCCTGGATCCTCTTCTCTTATTCTACCTTAATGGACAAACCTATATTCAAACATATTAGTATACTACCATTATATTACTAATATACTAATCATTAAATTCTTACATTGTAGATTATCTTTCATACTATTACAGAATGGTAGGTTGGCGTAAAGAACTGTTTTGGGGACCCTCTCCTTAAAGCTCATACTTAAGGTTATTGAAATATATAAATGACCATTTTCATAGGATCTCATTTTTTTGGCAAGTATAACCACGGAAACTCTTAGTTCCTATATTCTGCAAATTTTATTTGGAATTTTTTATAGCTCATAATAGTCTCTGTCTCAGAACCTCTAGTAGAGGCAGAAACAGCAGAACTCTCTCCAGAATAGGTTTTTCCAGAGCACACCAAATACCTGTATTAGTACTGCTTATAAATTCCTGAGAAGCAAATATTGGCCTCTTTTTTTTTGCGGAACCGGTGATCAAACTCACGACCTCACAATTGCCAGGCAGGCACTTATGCCACTGAGCTCAATCCCTGGCCCAATATTGGCCTCTTTATAGTGCTGAATTTATGCATTCATTCATTTAGTGGTACTGAGCATTGAACCTGAGCAGTGTCACCAGTCTTAGTTATTTTTTATTTTTTTGCTAGATTGCTCAGACTACTTGAACTTATGGTCCTCCTACCTCTGCTTCTCAGCGTGTTAGGATTAAGGTTATTGAAATATATAAATTTCAATGCATTGTCACACCCAGGCTTTTGTCTTCCAGCTCCCGTTATGCAAGTATTCCCAAGTGCATGCATTGGGGGTTCTCTGTATTTCACTAGCAAAAAATACAAAATTGTTTTGTTAAAATAAATTACTTTTAGCAAATTGCTTTTGTCTTTGGTTAAAAATAATGTCATGGAGAGCATTTGTGGAAACTAAAATTAGAACTCTCTATTTTGATATACTTCTGTGTTTTAATTCAATGAAGTCTAGAAAAGAGACCATAACTTTAAAGCATTAAATAAACTTAAACTTGATTATCCTGATGCCCAATTCAGTGTTATGTTGTGTAAAAGTACTTTATGATTAGATTTTTCATAGGTGTATACCTAGTAAAGCCACATTAAGAAAGTCCTTGAACACCTGGGATAGCCCAGTGTTATCTTGGCCATCTTTCAGAATATACAGACTTTTGTTGAGGGATTATCTTTGTATCGTCAGTCCTTCTGTTTATTTTATATTTAGATAGTGAAAGTAATTTGCTGTATTTCTTCACTTAAATAAAAATATATTGTTTAGTATATGATATATGATTAAGTCAACATTTTAGGTTCTATGATACAGAATTGTTTTTCATTAATTTTTGAAATTTCCCCTTTGACTAACGTCTGCCTACTCTCTTAGCTTGAGATGTCTTTTTTGGGGGGAATGTCCTTGCCTTACTACCTCTGTGGTTTGGATTCCATTTAAAACGTAAAATGTACATGAAGGTTGAATAGGCTAAAGTCATGTAGTCTTTTTTTCTTTATTTCACATTACTCAGCACTTAGGGTGACAGATTTTTTTTTTTTTAATTAAATGTGCTTAAATAGTTCTTGTCTCCAATTCCAACTAGTTGGGAGGCCGAGGCAGGCAGATTACATGTTGAAGACCAGTCTGGGAATCTTTTAGTAAGATCCTTATCTCAAAAATTTTTAAAAAAAAATAAAAAGGGCTGTGGTTGTAGCTCAGTAGAATGCTTGCCTAGCGTGTGCAAAGTCCTAGCTCTTTTGCAGTTCCCAAGTACTGCAAAAGAGAAACAAAAACAGGGTTCATCTCCTTTCATAAGCCCAAGTACCACTGGTTATGAATTTTTAGAGGTCGGGAAAAGTGTATCACTCTTACCACTCTTTGTTTTGGGTTTATTTCAGTACTGGGGATTGAACCCAGGACCTGTACACTGTATCCCTGGACCTTTCCATTTTATTTTTTTTGATACAGTGTCTCACTTAGTTGCTAAGCTACCCAAGCCGAGTTTAAACTTGATTCCTCCTGCCTCAGGAGCAATAGGATTGTAAGTGTGCTCTGCAACACCCAGCAGAGTAACTACTCTGAATAAATATACAGATACAAACGTAATGTTGTTAACATGTTTAGACTCCTTCAGGTTGTGAAATTCTTTGTATAAGCTCTGGAGAGAAAAGATCTCAAAAAATTTAAACTCTTTAAAATTATGAAAATGTTTAAGATGTTTTAATAAGTGTTTTGATAATATAATCAAGAAGAGTGTCAATTCCTTAACCTAGTTCAACAGTTTCATCTGCCTGGCACCTGGCTCCTGGTGTCTCTTCAGTAACAACAAAGCCCTTAGTAGCTCACTGGGAGAGAATCTGAATGGAACAAGTATAGTTCCTTTGGGAGTGGTTTAGTTTTATCGTAAGTCTCTCTTTCTTTATGCTGGTTTCCAGGAGAACCTGAAATTTATCAGCTACCATTTTAAAGATGTTATTAGGTAGGTCAAAATAAAGGAAATACACATAATATATTATCTTCCAAAAGTTCACTTGGTTTGTATTTTTTATTCTTTAGCCCTTCCTTTAAAATGTATATCATGATTTTTATTAGATGTTCATGAATTCTTGCTTTACATTATAGGTAATACAAGAAACCCAATTAAAACAAGTTTATACAGCAGATGAAAAGTATGTGGTAAAAACATCTGTTTATTCAAACAAAGTTATTTCTAGTAACACATCCCTGAAAGTAGCCCAGTTTCTCACAGTCACTGTGGATCTAGAACAAAGAAGACAGTTAGAAGAACAGCTAAAGGTTGGTTAATTTTTATTTGATTCATAGAAAAGAAACTGGATTTTTAATACTTCAAGACTTTAAAAAAATTTACAATTTTGAATATTCCATAGGAAATTAATAGAAAATTGGAAGAAGTGGATTCAGGATTGATTGCCTTACGTGACACAAACAGACACCTAGAACACACAGACAATGAACTTAGACAGAAGAAGAAGGAGCTTCTTGAAAGAAAAACCAAGAAAAGACAACTGGAACAAAAAATATTTTCCAAACTGGGAAGGTATCTTTTTAGCACAAAAGTGGGGAGAAGCTGGTAGCCACATGAGAGATTACTGATTAAACAGTACTGACCACACAGTTCTCACAGACACGTTTGTTGGTCATTTCTCTCCAGAGTTACAGCCTTACCCTTAACATACAAGTTGATCCATGGTGCAAGGGAGGATAAATCTGAAGTATTGTGATTTGCCTGTTCCAGTCCACTTAAATGCTTAAAACAAGGAGCCTGAAGTTTAGTTTTTAGGGAGTACATGTTTGTATTGTGAGTTACCATGTTAGCTGGGCACGGGGCACATACCTGTAAGCCTAGAAATCAGGAGCCCAAGGCAGGAGAATCACTGCAAGTTCAATGCCAGTCTGAATGAACTACATACTAAGTAGTAGTTCAAAAAACGTGTCTTAAAGAACAAAACAACTGAGACTAACATTTATTGATTCATTTAAAAATAATAAAGCCTTCACATGTTATCAAAAATGTTTATTAAAAAATTTGGGATTTAATAAAATCGATAGTATTTACTGCTTCATCAAGGACATTGTTAAGTACATCTGGCATTTCTATTTTGGTATCAGGGATCGAACTCACGACTTCATGCTTGCCAGGCAGGCGCTTAAGCCACTGAGCTAAATCCCCAGCCTACATCTGACATTTTTACAAACTTCCGATCCGAGTGCATGGCAGTGATGAATGTAATGGCTTAGGATACTTTTCACTGTCTTGATTGATGTTAAAGCACTCGTATTTTTACTCATCATTATGGTTATAGCATCGGTGCAGGTGCCTACAGAGAGAAGGACAGTGGCATCTTATTATTACCATGAAAATGATTTTGACTTCACAGATGTTTGAGATAATTTTAGACATGTGCAGGAGACTACTGACCACATTTATGTAGTCATTAAAGTCAGGATAGTGAGGGAAATAGAAGGTTTAGGCAGAAAAATGATCACATTCAGCAGCTTTTTTTTTTTTTTTTTTTTTAACCAATCCTTAAAGAGTAATAGGGAAGGAAGAGGTTTTGATGAATTTCACAAACTACAAAGTACCTGGGGGTTTCTCAGTTGCCTTTTCCCTGGTTACAATTAGGATTAATTCTGCTTGGCTATAATTGCCATGCATTTCACAGAATTCCACATTAAATGTCAATATTGTCAAAAAATTTCCCCAGAAGAAAAACTAGTAGCCCGTTGTGAGAGCCCAGATAACCATTCACAGAATAGATTGGCAGTCATTTTGTATTTAGATCTTCTGTAGAAACTGAAATATGTATGATAGGATAAAAATCAGTAGGGTGTTAAGACCAAGGAAAGGGACCATGGCATTCATTCAGGGCTTCCCCATTTCCCCATGTGGCAGCCTAGGCCTGTTGGTTAGTATCGTTCTTTTAACTTCCCCTTAGAACAAAGATGCAGAGATTAGTGACATAATAAATCTTTTATAATAAATGGTAATTCGTTGCCCTGAGTAAGATATGTTTATTTGGGTCTACAGTTTGTGCTCTTAAATATATCCATAAATTGAATTACATATTTGAAGTGCTTTAGAAAAATATGTTTTTTCATCTTTTTTAAAGCAAGTAATTGTGCATTAACTTTTATTTTAAAAATTAATGTATCTTAATAGCTTAATGCAAAATATGTCTGATTCAGATTCCATACCATTTTTTCAGCTTTAAACACCTAACCTTTATTGTGCGACTATTATACTGGACATTGGACTCATTGTCTAAAAGTAAACTTTGTCTTCATCAAATATTTTTTCCCCCAGTGGAATGGCTTTAATATCTAATACCATTCCACTGTGTGATTTCTGCCTTTATTCACTTTGGCCTGCCAGTGGTGACCTGGCTAAGGTCTGTTTGTGACTAGCTCCCTCCCCGCTCATTTTATGCAGGGCACTGTTGTAGATACCTGTCTTCTTTGTGTGTTCCTCCTCCTTTTAAGAATCATGCTTCCTACCATTCCTGTGTGAGATTTAATTAAATACACTTCTTTAGACTAGCTCTCAGGGCTCTTTAGGATTCTTTCTCCTCACTGCACTCTTTCTTGTGTCATTTCAGACCCTCTCCAGTAGCTCTTATAACAATACTTGTGAATTCATGTTTATTATTTCTTTCTTTTTTTTCTTTGTAGCAGAAAGAACATGAAACTTGGTGTTAAATATTTTAACCTGTAATATTTCTGATCTTAGATGATACACTCTACTTTTCTAAGCCTTAACGTCTTCATAAACAATAACAATTAGTTTTGGGCTGTCTCAGTTACTTTTGTCTCATTGTTGAGACAAAATACCTGATCCCAAAATTAGAGAAGGAAAGGTTTATTTAGCTTACAGGTTTTTGGAGCTTTCAGTCCATAATCTGCTGGTTCCAAGGCAGGGTGGCATAGCTGAGGGGCAGCCATTCATGGTGGCCCCAAGTGACAGAGCAAAATGGCAAAAGAGGAAAAAAGTATGCCTCTTTCCCACCCTTATACTGTGTGCTGGCCCTGACACTAGGCAGGTGAAGCACTCACATCATTAATCCCAGTACTAGACAATGAGCCAGGCACAAACACTAGATTCAGCCGCCTTCATGACTTCTGTTTTTGGTTTTGTTTTTGTTTTTGTTATGAGGGATCAAACTCATGACCTCACTCTTGCCAGGTAGGCACTTATACCACTGAGCTAAATCCCTGGCCCCTTCTCTACAATTCTATGAGGAAATTGCTGTTACTATCTGCAACTTATAGCTGAAACTAAAGTTCAAAAGAACAGTGCTTAGTGAGTGGCAAATTCAAGCCACCTTTCTGACTCCACAGCCTGTACCATTATTACCAAACTATTGCTGGGCACATAATATATCTCAAAAAGTACTTTTTGTCATGATTAATTACATAAATGATTGTTTAATACAACAGCATTGCTAAGTATAGTCAAAAAACTGCAGTGGGCCTAAGACTCTGTTAGATTCTTGTGTTTAACTGATTTCTGCATCATTCTATGTGTCATACAGTTTAAAGCTGATGGAACAGGATACTTGCAACCTTGAGGAGGAAGAGCGAAAAGCAAATAACAAAATCAAAGAAATAAATGTTCAAAAAGCAAAACTTGTTACTGAATTAACAAACCTAGTAAAGGTGAGGCACTTTTTAATTTTAGCCATTCCTTAAAAAGTTACTCAGAGAAGAAAATAAATTCTTTAGAGCACTTTTTTGGAGAGAGTGTCTTGATTGAGCTTCTCTGCTGTTTTAGCTGTGTAAACAAGAACACTGCACATCACTGCTTATGTGGTTGACATTTTCTGTATAGGTAAGGAATAGGTTGAAAGCACTCATTAAATTATTCTAATTATCGCTCTTAAATACATAGAAAAGTATTTAAAAGTTTTCTTATAAGAACTATTTGAGATATCAATCACAGTAAAAATGTTATTTTTTTATAATTTATCATAAACTGGTATTGTTTTTATAGTCCTGAAACATAAGAACTAATCTGTTAGGGGTTTTATTCCTAGATTTGTACTTCTTTACATATACAAAAAGTAGATTTAATTCTTCAAAATACTACGGTGATCTCTGAAAAGAATAAATTAGAATCTGATTATATGGCTGCATCTTCACAGCTGCGTCTCACAGAGGTAAGGTTTTTATGATTTATTTCTGTTGAGAGAGTTCGTTCTCCAGTCAGTTTGGAAATGCCATGTGTCATCACCTATAATATGTAGTCATTGTTGTGCTCTTTCATTTACAAATTAATGAGAAAGCAGTGGTTGAAGCACTTGAGCGTTGGGTCCGAGTCAGACTGCTGTGGTTTGGTGCCCGTCAGTTCGTGAATCATCATGTACTCAATAAACTCTTTAAGATTTAAGAAAATCTTGGCAATGTAATCGTGTATGTTCCTGTGAAAAAATAAATACAGAAATAGTCTATGAGGAGGAGAAAATGTGACACTGTACATTGTCTTAAAACCTAAAGATCTGGCAACAATATGATAGTGATAGTTTGAATCTCTAAAATTCTTTTCTAAAAATAGAAGATCACCTACAATAATGTAATGACAAACCAGTGGACAATAGGTACAGCAGGCAAACTACATTGTAAGGTGTCCCTGTTGGTGTACTATAATACTGACTGATGCTGAGCACCCTCAGAGAAAGTGCCAGAATTTTATTGAGGCATGGTTCATGGAATCACTGATTATGTGACTAAACTTAGTCTCTAGCTCTTCTAAACCTTGAAAATGATGATGATATCATATGATTAAAAAACTCTGATTTTAAACATAATTTGATTCTAAAGAGAAAAATAATTGCAAAAATATTGTAAGTTTTAAGTAATCATAGTTTGATACTTGTTATTCTGAAAATATTTTGATTGGAATTGGAAATATCAGAATGACTCCTAAATATATTTTTTCTGTAAAAAAAAAAATTCCTCTGTGCATGGTGGCACATGCCTATAGTTCCAGCATTTGGAAGGCTGAGGCAGGAGGCTCTCCATGCATTTCAGGTCAGCCTGAGCTACACAGTGACTTCAGGACCAGCTTGACCTATGTAGACAGAACATCTCAAAGAAAAAAAGTCCTTTTTCAGTCTATTAAAAAGACCTAGATTATGACCTTTCTATAGTATGTTCTAGTAAATGGCTCTTTGAAGAAATGGATGGTTCCAGGTTCAGGGAAAGAAATATACATAAGTAACTTTACATCTGTATCAGTGAGCTTCAGTCATCCTGTCATACCAGAAAGAAAAAAGTAATTAAAAGAAGATTTAGTAGTTAAGAGGACCTACATGAAAATTTCTACTAGCTGTAGATGAAAGAATAATAGATGTAAGCACATAAAAATTTTCTAAATATATAATGATAAAATACTGGTCATTTTGGAACATATTTAGAGCTCCAGCACATTATTTTGAAAAATGATAAAGGTTTTAGCATTTATCTCACTTTTCCTGTTTATACTGTCATTTAAGATAAACAAAACAGAGGTCCTTTACTAGAAGTATGCTTCATTTTAATTAGTGCATGTTGCAGGACACACAATTACATTCATCGTAGTGAGTAGTACGTCCACGCTAATTCTTTTCCGTCCTGTTTCCCTTCACTTCTCCTTGCTCTTTCTCTAGATCCCTTTCCCGTTCGCAAAACATCTATCTCCATATTTCCTATTACATTTTCTTTTTCTTTTTAAATTGTTTATGTTTTGAGTTTCTCATATAAGAAAAACCATGCAATATTTAAACTTGTGTCTGATTTATTTCACTTTTTTGCTCTTTTTTTTATTCTTGCATTTTTGCAGTAGGTAGTGGTTACATTCATTATGTGGAGTTATGTAGCACGTCTTAATGTTTTAAATCCCTTTCCCCTATTGTATTAATCAGACCACCAGATTAACAGGTTTAATGAGAAGAGAGAGATGAGTTTATAAAGTAGACTTTCAGTCACTACCTTTAGGGTCAGATGTGGAAAGGCTCTGCGCTGGAAATAGGAAGATTCCAGTTAGAAGTCAAAGGCCTGGTGTTTATTGTAGAGTCCCATGTGAGTCCGTACCACGGAGCCAGAGCATACTGCGCTGCAAGGCTAAAGGGTCTACGTTGGAAGCCAGGAGACAGACATCTAAAGTGAAGGGTGACTGGAGCTCCTCCAGATTCAGAAGCAAGCCCCTTCTTTCCCTTTTTATTCTCTTCAGGCTATAAGCCTCGTGGCTGGTGACCATCATACCCAGAACTATGCTAAGCCAGTCATTTGGATATTTTCTTACTCAAGTGTGCACTACAGTAAGCCATCACAATCCACCCTTTGTAGACTTCATAATCAGGCACATTTCCCTAAACTATACTTAATCTTCAGGTGAAAAAAGCAAGTTCTGCCTAATGGGAAACAACCATCATGTGTACAAATGTACAAATGGAAGCACACTAATGAAGGCAAAGTGTGGGTTTTTTTTGGTTGTTTTTTTTTTTTGGTGATGTTTACTCCTAACATTTTATAAATTCATTATAACATAGATTTAACAGTAAGTATGAACCAGTATTGAGTCTGTCAACCTATGTTACATAGGAGGCATATTAGAACAATTACAACTCTCATTTCTGGAGCTGATCACAGGGTCATAACTAGTATTTATAAATACCTTTTTCTGCTGCCCATTTTGTATTCCCTTGACCTTCAACAAGCCTCTCAGCAGGTCTTGCTTCTCTTCAGTGGGGTGACTTGTACCTTCATCCTTGAAGATTCTGACCCATTTGTCATCCTGCCTGTGTTGGGTTGTCATAATTTCTCATTGACCTTAATAACAGGGCATGGTAATACTAAGAGGTGCCCTGAGGGATCTCCTGCACTCCAAGTGTATTCTTCCTTTCGTCCCTTGTGAAGTAGTAGCCCAGTTTTCCCTTGATGGTCTGGATCAGTCACAGGGTCTTCGCAGGTTGGCTTCAGCCAGTGCTGTTACTCCCTTTTTGGCTTGTTTGCTCAGAGGCATGAGAGCTCAAAATGATCAAGGGGAGTCTTAGCTTCCAGTTCAATGGAATCTTTGTGTTTCTCACTACAAGCTATCTTCCCTCTTGTACTAAGGCTTCTAGTCCGGTGGATCGTAAGGTTACTATTAAGAAACAAAACTTTTCTATTCCTAATTCCACGTGAGTCTGTGAATTCTGATTGTTGAAGGCACAGTACCATTTCCTGGATACTGATTCAAAGCATATGCAGTGTGACAAGCTATTGCCACCTAGCTAGTTCTGTAACTGCATTTTCAAAAGGCCCTTTCACTTTTCTGTCAATCTAAATGATCTGGATAGTGAGCAACATGGTAAGATCAGTGAGTTCCATCAGCATGACCTCATTACCTTGCTTCTTTGGGTGTAAAATTTTTCTTCGTCAGAGGCAGTGCTATATGGGGCATTCTGTGAGTTCACATGTGGTAGAAACATTCTGTCCAAGGAGGGAAAATCTATATCCAGAATAAGTGTCTGTAGCAGTAAGGACAAAACTGCACTTTCCATGATTGAAGCAGTCCCTTACAATCAACCTGTCACCAGACCAGACTCTTTACCCCAAGGATTGGTGCGATATTGGAATCTCAGCATCAGTGTCAGCTGCTGACAGACTGGGCATTCAACAAGTAGTGGTGACCAGATCAGCTGTGCTGAATGAGAATCCATGTATAACCCCCTTCCCTGATGCCATGGTGATTCTGTTCCTGAGCCATTTTGGGCAAGTCATCCTATCCACATGATTATTAGAATCCTCTTCTGAGGGAACTTTCTGGTGTTTACATGGGATACAAATATCTTTCTGTCCTTTGCCCATATGGAGAGGTCTGTCTGCGTGTCTCTTCCCTAAATACTTTTGTCACCAGCCGAACCTTTGGTGATAACCCGTGAATCAGTATATAGATGTACATCTGGCCATTTTTTTTTTTCTTCCATGCAAAATGTGCTGCCAGGCAAACTTCCCAGAGTTCTGCCAACTATGAATGGTTCCCTTTACTGACCTTCAGGGATGTCCTGAAAAGGGGCTATAATATTGCAACTGTGCTCTTGCAGGTGGTGCCTGTGTAATGTGCAGAACCACCTGTAAACTAGGTGCCAGCCTTCTCTTCTGTCACCTGATCATATGGTACACCCCACGAGGCTATAGTTACCTGCTGAGAGACAATCTAGAAGGCAGTATAGCAGAAGGGACCATAGGCATCTCAGAAACTTCTTCATGTAACTTGCTTGTGCCCGCTGAATCTGCTCTGGCTTGGCAACATACATACCACTTTTTATTTAATGGTGGACTGTTTCTGTGCATGTGTGTACAACTTTTCAGAGAATACCCAGTGCATGATAGGCAGCTCAGGTTTCATGGTAACCTGGTATTCCATGGTCAGGTGTTTAGTTTCCAGTGAGGCTCAGTAGCAGGGTAGGAGCTGTTTTGTTTTAAGACAGGGTCTCACTATGCCATTGAGGCAACTCTTAAACTCACTACGTTGCCTCAGGCTAGCCTCAAATGTGAGGCAGTCCTTGCCTTAGCCTCCCAAATGCTGGAATTACAGGCATGTGCTACCACTCCCCACCTAGGAGCTGTTTTGCAAAGGCCTGTGCTGCAGTTCACCTATGGGTGTCTGCAAAAGACTCCAAACAGTATCCCTACCTGCCACTTACATTGACTCTGCTGGATCATATGACCCCAGGGGCACAGCAGCTGGTGGAGCTTCTTCCTGGACTTGTTGCAGACCTTTCTTTTGCTTTGGGCCCTACTTGAAACTAGGAGCTTTCTGAGTCACTTGGTAAGTGGGCCCTGTTAAAATATGTAAATGAGCAATGTGTTGCCTCTAAATCCAAATAAGCCCACTAGGTTCTGTGCTTCTTTTGTAGTGTGAGCCAGACACAGTAGCTTATCTTTTACCTTACAAGGGCTATCTCTTCATGCCCCTTACCACTGAATTTCTAGAAGCTTAACTGAAGTAGAAGGATCTTGAATTTTCTTTGGATTTAACTTCCCATCCTCTTGCTCACAAATACTTTACTAGCAAATCCAAAGTGTGTGTTGACTCCTCTTGCTCACTTGATCCAGTTAGCATAATAGCAGAATAATGGGGTAATGTAACACCTTGTGGCTTGTATCTAGAGATTCCCCCAAAGCTTTATGTGCT